GTCCCAGCGGTTACAGCAATTCCGATCCACGCGAGAAGCGGGCTCCCCTCGTAAGAGAACACTGGGCGATGCATGGACTCAGCTTTTCGCTCGAACTGAAACGACACAGAGTTAGACCCCAATAGGTCTTCAGACCTCCCGATCGTTGGAGACTACTATATTTCCAGCGCCCTTATTGATGGACTGCATGGGGCCCCACCTATAATGGAAAATCCGTCGACCCTGTCGGCGTGTGTGAGGGGCTTGCCCGTTTGAGTCGTCGTCTTCGTCATTCGTTCGTCGTCGTCTCTGTCGTCCCCTTTCCCTGCGACCCCCCGTTCCCTGGGCCCGTCGCCGCTGCCCCCCCTTTCTCTGGGCTCTCCTCCTCAAGCGCCGGGCCCGTCGCCGCTCCCCCACCTCTTCCCTAAGCCCTCCTCCTCAAGCGCGCCAGCCAAAGCGAAATTGAGCAACGTCGTAATTGACTCGAAAAGAAGAACCCCCTTCCCTTTGATCCCTCCCCCGCCGAGAGGGGGGGGGTCCTGGAGGTGTCCAGGGGGGGGTCCCGGGGAGGCCCGGGGGGGCCAGGGGGGGTCCCGGGTCAGACACGACTCCCCCCCAGGAGGTCCCGGGGCCCCCCAAAAAAGCCCCAAGACGGGCCAAGAGTGTCCCCAGAGGCCCCCAAGTCGCCGAGCGATCCGTCAAAGACGCGTTGACGGCCTCCAGACGGCCCAAGAGCCCTGCAAGACGCCCCAAGAGACCTCCAGGAGCACTCCCGAGAGGGCCCCAAGAGGAAAAATCACTGATTCCCCATTGATTTTCGAAGCATTTTGGCGTTCTCGCCTCTTCCGCCTCCCGACGCCCCACGACGGCCCAGGAGGCCCCCCAGACCGCCCCAAGGCAACCCAAGAGGGCTCCAGGAGGGACCCACAACGACCCAAGAGGACCCTAAGACGCCCCATGAGGGCCCCAAGATGGCCCAAGAGGCCCCCAAAACAGCTCCAAGAGAATGCCCAGACGAGTGTCCAGAACGGGAATTTCGAGCCCTCGGCCCCGAGAAGCGCCCAGGAGAAACCAAGAGGCCCCCAAGAGGTAGGCCCCGAAGAGGCAACCAGGAAGCCCCGACAGGCCCCCGAGAGGCTCCCAGAGGCCCCCGAGAGACTCGCAAGAGGCCCCTAAACTGTCCCCCACAGGCCCCCGAGAGCGCTTCGAAGAGACTCCAAGAAGCATCCATGAGAACTCTGACCCACGTCAGCGTCGTCGTCGTCACCGCCGACGCCGTTACCGACGTTCCACTTCAAGGCCAGCGGCAACTGCCGTACGACCTTCGCAATAATCATTTCTCCGCGGCACCGGCCGCGCAACAACGACGACGACGACGACTGCGACTACGAAGAAGAAGAGGAAGAGGAGAAGGAGGAGGAGCAGGGGGAGGAGCAGGGAGAGGAGGAGGGGCGGATTGAATGCCCTGTCGAGAGAAACAGGGGGGATCCCCCAAACTAGAGACCTTCTGAGGCTACCCACACCCACCACCACCACTGAACATCGCCTTGGAACTGGCGGTGCTTGCCGCCGATGGATCGGCGAGATGCGCCCTCGATAGTTGGCGAGGCCGCACCCTGCCGTGTGCAGGCTGGGACCTCCCCCGTGCCCCGACCGACCTGCGATGCACGAGTGGCTGCGGGTCGGTGCTTTCTTCCCCCTCTTGGCGGCGCGCACAAGGTGGCAGAAGGAGGGCCCCAGAGGTCTGACGCCAAAACAAAAATTAGGAGCGGGCGAAGTCTGGTTGTGTTCGGCCTCTGCTTAGAGGCTGGAGCTTCTGGTGCTACTTGAGGACTGGTTGTGTCTGGGCTGAAGTTACTTTTGTTCTGGTTTCGGTGGCGCAAGTTGTGTATGTAAATGATATAAGAGTTTGACTGGCTTTGTGACTACACTTGTGCTACTTACAAGTATTTGTATTATGTTGGGCAGCGAGCTAAGTTACGTATTACTTAGCACTAAGTAGCTTAGTTGTCCATAGTAGTAAGTAACTCAGCCCTACTTACTAACATTTCTGCAAAACTTAAACTCATGCTCCACTCAGCCCCCTTCCGCGACTCTCGCGCCTGGAACCGATTCCCTACCTAATTGTTGACGCTTCGCGTGTCCCCGCCAGCCCATCCAGAAACGATGTCCAGGGGAATTCAGGTCATCAGGGCAGCGGGGGAGCATGCATAATATCAAAGTGCGGTGGAGCTGTCACATGCCCCAAGAGGGGGAGGATGGAGGAGGAATCGTCGTCGTTGGAAGGGCGAAGACGAGGAGGGCGAGCAAGGCGGAGAAGGAGGAGAAGGAACATAATGAGGAGAAGGAGGGGAAGAAGGAGGAGGAGAAGGGGGAGGAGGAGGAGGAGGAGGAGGAGGAGGAGGAGGAGGAGGAGGAGGAAGAGAAGGAGACGGAGGAGGACGAGGACCAGCAGAATAGCCAGACGCATCTTGAATGCCTCTCGGATGTCTCTTGGAAGCCTTTTGGAGGCCTCTTCGGGCGTCTTGGGGTCTCTTGGCGGTCAAGGGAGCTATTGGGCGTCTTGGGTGCTTCGGGGACCCCCCCCGAGGTCCGCCCCGTGCCGTCGACGAGGACGAGGACAAGGACGAGGACGACGAGGACGGGGGAGGCCCGAGGGGCGCCCCGAGGGGGGCCCCGACCCCCCCGAGGTCGACGAGGACGAGGACGAGGACGAGGACGACGAGGACGGGGGAGGCCCGAGGGGGGCCCCGAGGGGAGCCCCTACCCCCCCCCGAGGTCCGCCCCGTGCCGCCGACGAGGACGAGGACGAGGACAAGGACGACGAGGACGGGGGAGGCCCGAGGGGGGCCCCGAGGGGGGCCGCGACCCCCCCGATGTCCGCCCCGTGCCGTCGACTAGGGCGAGGACGAGGACGAGGGGTCCCGACACCCCCCCAAGGTCCGCCACGTGCCCTCGACGACGACGAGGACGAGGACAAGGACGACGAGGACGGGGGGGGGCCCGAGGGGGGCCCCGAGGGGGGCCCCGACCCCCCCCGAGGTCCGCCCCGTGCCGTCGACGACGACGAGGACGAGGACGAGGGACCCCGACCCTCCCAGCTCCGCCCCGTGCCGTCGACGACGACGAGGACGAGGACGACGAGGACGGGGGGGGGCTCGAAGGGGGCCCCGAGGGGGACCCCGAGTGGTCGGGGCGGAGGGGTGGAAGGGGGACACGCTCTAAACCACCTACGCCCAGAGGGCTGGTGGGACTTACCACGCGGAAGTACCACAAGTGCTGCAAGTATAACACCATGTTACCTGTTTGTTACCTTGTTGTCATCTTGATGTTATCTTTTGTGATCTTGGGATCTCGGATACCTAGATAACAAACATATGACACAGAGGGACGGGGCCCCTCGTCCTCGTCCTCGCCCTCGTCGACGGCATGGGGCGGACCTCGGGGGGGGGGTCGGCCCCCCCCATCGGCCCCCCCCCCCCCCCTTCCCCGACGGTGCCCCGGACCCGGCCGTGGGCCTCCGGGGCCGCCGGGCGGGCGCCCTCGTGGTAGGCGTCGAGGAGCCGGTCTGCCCTCGACGCCACGGCCGTGCGCAGGAGCTTCTCCTCGGCGGCGTGTGGAGAGTGGCGCTGCAGGCAACCCGTAGGGCAAGGCTGCGGGAGAAGGACGTCTACGGGCCTCGGGCGCCCAGCTCGAAGCGTTTCGAGCGGGGCGCGGCCGACGAAAGTGGCGAAGGATGGGCCGAGGAGGCAAGGATGCAAGGGTATCCTTGGGAAGGTTGCCCATCCTTCCTATGCGGGTTGACTGTATGGTTGTGGACGCCACGACAGTGGACACCCTAACAGTCCGATCATTGAATTCAAACTGTGTTGAACATGTCGGGAACATGTTCTATACATGTTTGAAACACGTTTCTACATGTGTACAGCATGCTTAACACATGTTGTAGACATGTGAAAATTATTTGGCAGCATGCTTCCTCTCCATTGATACGCGGTCCCCGGAAGTCTCGACCCACTCCCCAGGACCGGCCCTTCGCCCTGCGTCGTTTCTTGACGGTCCCGGGGCCCGGCGAGGGCCTCCAGAGGCCGAACTCAGCGAAAAACCTCCGTCGGCTCTCTGGGAGGATGGCTCTCTGGGAGGACGCAATAGGAACATCGAGGAGGAGGAGGAGGGAGGTGGGGGAGGAGGAGGAGGAGGACGAGGAGGAGAACGAGGAGGAGGAGGAGGAGGAGCAGCAGCAGCACAACATTTGTTCGAGACGTTGGCTCTCTGGGAGGAAACAAGGGAGCCCTTGGGAAGGCTGCCCACCCTTGCGCTGCGGGCGGGCAGCGCGGGCAGGATCGGCCTCAAAAGTGTGCGCGGCCTTCGGGGGAGAGCCGCGGGGGGTGGGGGGTGGCGCGAGCCCAGAGCACGCAACGAGCCGCTGCCGTCGCACCCGCAGGCGGCCATCCGGTGACCCCCGCTTGCCCCTCGCCAGGTGTCACCCTGAAGAAAGTAACCAAGGGTTCCCAGCTTCGCGCTCTCGCGCTGCGCGAGAGCGCGAAGTGCGAACAACTTCGCGCCCTCGCGCCGCCTCCCAGGGGAGAAGAGGGGGAGGAGGAATCGGAGCCGAACCGCGAAGCGCAAATAACTCCGCGCCCTCGAGGGCGCCCTTTAAGTAAGGAGCCGAACTCTATACCCCGACGCTTTTTCTGGCCCCACACCGGAACTCGCACAGGAAAACGGATCCTTGTGTACACGGGGTTTTGGTGTGTACATGTTCGTTCCTGCCTCGGGAAAACGGGGACACAAGTATACACCACACCACCCCGACGTCGTCGCCGACCCTCACACTGTTGACAAACCTCCCTTTAGTAAACCTCCATTTAGTGAATGAAAAAGGCCCAGGACCGAAACCGACGGACCTGGACGCGCAAAAATAACGGCCGCGACGCCCTCTCGCGAACCGAAAATGGCCAATTCACTAATCGACGTGTCAGGGCAGAAGGTCTATCAACCTCCGGCACTCTGGAGAAAGGTCACCCTTGCATGTAGCCGATCTCCGGCAGGCCGCCCTCGTCAGAGCCCAGCTGGGCCTGCAGCTCGTGCCAGTCCCAGGTGGCCAAGAGCGTCGGCGCGGTGGCGCGCAGGACGTGCGACTCCTTTGAAACGCAGAAGAGCGTACCAGTACTATACGTGTCCTTCTCGGAGACGCACGTTCGACGAGAGGACATAGTATCAAATATTGTAGTACACAGTTTCCCGAACGGTGCGGCCACGAAGCGGCCGCCACAGAGCACGTCCACACATGCATATGTGTGATTTCTCATACATCTATACATAGATGTATACATATAGATGTATGTGTATATATGTATGTATAGATGTATATGTGCATATATACCCTCCAGAACCACGCGCGCGTGCTTAGGCTCTACCGCAGTCCAAGACAACCACACAGGATCGGATGCGGATGGACATCATCCCGCAAAGATCACCATGTCGGAGCGTACTTCCCGATGGACGCTTCAGAAGTCGCTGAATCAGGCTACAGGAAGACGCGCAAGGCAAAGGGGGATGCCAGAGAGCCCCTAAGAGCCTGGCAAAACCATGTTGGGAATCTCTTTGGACGCCGCTGGGGGACGTTCTTGAATAGCGTTGGTGGGGCCTGTCCCGTTGTTGTAGGGGGTCCTGGCGTGTAGGCTTACAAAGACGGTTTGGATATACGCTCTTGCCCCTGTCTTGGGGCCGTCTGGAGGGCCTCTTGGGCCGTCTTGGCGGCCTCTAGGGCTGTCTTGGCGGCCTCTTGGGTCGTATTGGCGCTCTATTGGGTCGTACTGGGCGTGGTGCCCCTTGCAAACACAATGGGCCATGGGCCCATGCTGCAGATGCCATGGTCCAAATCAACATATATGTTCGGTGCCTTAGAGGCCAATCCCCCTTGTAAAAAACGATGGGTCCGCGCACTCGAGGCCACGACCCTGCTTTTGGACAAAAAACTTCGAGCTCGCGCTCAGAAATCGCCAGCCAATCATCCAGCCATCCAACCAGCCTGCAAGCCTGCCAACCAACACTTCAGCCAACCAACTGGCCATCCAACCTGCCGACCGTCCATCCAGGTGGCCGGTGAGACTGCGGGGTCGCCAACCTGCCAGCGAATCCAACAGACAACCAGCGAACCCAATCGACCCAGCCACGCAGGCGGTGAGGAGCAAAGGTCGAGGCCGGTCAGATAACGAAGAACGTACACGCAACGAACACTCCAATGATCTGAGGGCTGATGAACTGCCCCAAGGGCTCAGCGCTTTCGTGCCTGCGATCGTGCCACACGAATACAAGATCGATTTCTCGACAATGCCGAAAGAAAGCTGCAAGTTCTGCTCATCATCTTCCCTCTGCAATCACTCATCGTAAATGAATGTTGGCTTGTAATCGGTGACCGCCATGGTGATTAGAATTGCAACAACCGCCGTGACGGTACTGATAAGCGCGACCACCCAAACAAATGGCTGGACAGTCTGCATGACGCTCATGATGAGTATGCGAAAATCCGGAAGTATTCTGAACATGCGGGCGAGTCTGAGGATCCGTACTAGACGCAGGAGTCGCAGCAAGGGTGCCCAATGCGCCGGGCTGTCGGAAACAACAGCGACTTCCTGGAACACGTCTAACAGCGTGATCACAACCAAGCCGAGGTCAACCCAGGATGCAGACGTATCCCTGGACCGCAGAGGAAAACCCAGCAATGCCGAAAACAACCGTTATCAGCAGGAGCTGGGTGCTGAACCCCAAGGAAGAAGATCTCGACGCCGACGACTGGTGGGGAGCCGCAGGGAGCCACGTCCTTGCTGTGCACCCTGTCTGGTAACATAGCCACGCCACGCTCAGAATTACGAGCAAGCTGTCACGTCACGCCACGCTCATGATCACGCTCCGACGCTCTCAAAGTTGTCGTCTGTGACAAAAGCCGGGGGGCGCTGGAAAGAGGAATACTGGTGGCATTGTTGGAGAGCGCTCGACTGGAGACATTCACACTCATCTTGGATGTGGATCTCTGCCGGATATGTGGGAGGCTGCTGGGCTGCTGGATCGCCTGCCTGAGGGTACTGGGCAGTGGTAGTACTGGCAGTCTGGGGCAATATCCTCTGCCTAGACGGATAAGCCCAAACTAATAGGCTCAAGATTCGCCTTCGCCTCCGCCTCTCGAGTACGCGACTGGCCTTGAGGTCCTTCAGCTCGCGGCGCAGTGTCTCTCTAGTGAAGGTGTCAAGTTCCGAACGCAGGAGTGATTGCGTCAGGCAGGCTCCTGTGGGTTCTTCTGATGCTTGGGCGCAGGTCTCATCTGTATACTGGTGCTTCTCGCCAAACCCTTTGTAATGGCCAGACTTTGGCGAATCAAGCGGCGAAGACCGAAGCCAGAAGCCCGTTCGAGGGAGAAAGGCTGCGGATCCAGCTTTTGAAACCTCTGACGGGACAACGAATGGAGGGCAGCGTCCTATGGATGACCTTGGGGGTCTCTCTGGGCCGACTTGGGGCCATCGTTGGGTGTTCACACGGTCATCTTGGAAGCCATCCTGGGCGTCTTGGAGGCCTCTGGGTCTGGCTTGGGGCCACCTCGGGGCCGTCTCTGGGGCCTCTTGGAGGCCTCCTCCTCCTCCTCCTCCTCCTCCTCCTGGGCTCCTCTTGGAAGCCTCTTGGCCCCTGCCTGCGGCCAGGACAGAAGGTATACGGCACGGCGGCCGAAGGGAGACTCGGCAGCACGTTGGATTCCCCTCTCTTCGCGGGGGGTGCGTTCAGAGCGGGGTAAAGTCAACGGGGCCGCAGTGTATGGCAGGAACAAGGAGAGGACTTTGGGGATCTATCTTCTGGCGGCGTGCTCTTGGGGCCCCCATCGACTTCCCCATGTGCTGAGCCTTTTCTTAGGGTGGAGGGCTCAAGATGAAAACCAGCTGGGCTTCTGCACCTCGAAAGTCAATCCGTCTTGTGATTCACCTTTTGCAGATCCAAGCCTCGAAAATCCATTGAAACGGCATTTCAGATTTCACCCTTAGCCCTCCACCCAAGGAACATGCTCGGATGTGGCGCTCCTCTTAGCACCGCCATGGGCCCAGATAGAATCACCTCCACCTGCGGCGAGCCTGCTATTGACCGACGACCAACCACAACACAAGGGAACAATCAACAACAGAGGGCATTAGAACTTGCCAGTAGAGCACTTACGCGGATGTTTCATTTACGCAGCGATTTGCGGAAATGTTCGATCGTCCCCATGGCCCCCAATGGCGCGTCCGTTCCCGCGCAGGGCGGACACAATGCCTCCTCTTCGCGCTATGGGCGCTTTTGGTCAATATTTCGCGTGGTTTGACCGCTATTCGGCGCTACTGGGCGCGATCCGGCGCCATTGAGCGAATGCGGGCGCTTCTTGGCGCTAGTAGGCGCTCTTCGTAGATATTCCGCAATCAGAGCTTGCCTCTGTAGATGTCCTAGCGAATTCGTATAGTTAGGTGAGGTTTGCCACCGATTTCCGCGGCCCGCCCAAGTGCCCGGGTCCACGGGTGCCGTAAAGCCCTATGACCCAATAGCCCTATAGCCCAATAGCCCCCCCTATAGCCCCATGGCCCAGTAGCCCTAGAACCCTATAGCCCCATCGCCCGAGAGCCCTATAACCCTATCACCCTATAACCCAATAGCCGTTTAGACCTATAGCCCTGCAACCCTATAGCCCTATGACCGTATAGCCTTATGGCCCTATAGCTACATGTGCCTTGTTAGCTATATATGCCTATAGCCCTATAGCCCTATATCCCTATAGCCCTATGGCCTTAGAGCCCTATAGCCCGATAGCCCTATAGACTCATAGCCCTATTGCCCTAAAGCCCCCAAACCCATAACCCTATAGCCCTACGGTTCTATAGCCCTATGACCCTATAGCCCTAGAGAACTATAGCCTTATGGCCCTATGGCCCGATATCCCTATAGCCCTACAACCTAATAGCCGCACAACCCGGCATCATACATCCATTCCACGACTAGCGGAATATTGCGTGATATCGTGTCTTCTGCGATGGCCGTGCATGTCATGAGTTGCGCTGAGTTTCGCACGGGGTACCAGGCGGCGCGGCGCCCTTGGCCCGTGTATATAAAAATCCACGTAGCGTCTCGCGAGGAGCACGCCCAGTCCAACCACCTCAATAATACGAAACATTTTGTCTCCAAGAAACACAACGTCCGACCAACCACGACCAATTCACTCGTCAACTGGCCGTGCGAATAATTCGCATATTTCTAACAGCGCGAGGCCCAATCCGAACGAAGGAACAGAAGACGAAAACAGGAGGCAGGGGAAGAAACCATTACACGCGCTGCTGGGCAATAAGCTTGGTGGCCAGAACTACGTGGCTGATCATCGGAGGGTCTCAATTCTGGGAAGTCTCCCTGTGGAACGCAAGCCAAGATAACGGAAAAGTCGAAAGCCCTTGCTAAGGTCGAGGGCATTCGCGCGCTGGAAAATTACACCGACGGTGGGACCTCACATGAAAATGTCCAACGTAGTCGGGAAGTCAAGCCTCACCGATGCCCTTGTGAGCGGAAAAGGCTCGACTCCAGTATCCTCATCGCCCGTCTGGCGGAAGCCCTCTTTCTGCCCCCTGCTCTGGCTCCTCCTCGCTCTCCTGCCTTTTTTCCACCCCATCCACCTCATCCCCCGCCCTTTTTAACAAGGCCGCGCATGTCGGTATTCCTCGGCGCCGCTGCCGCCACGGCCGGCATGGGCGCGCTCTGGGATGGCCAGATCACGAAGCCGCTGGGGCAACCCCGCAGGCAACGCCTGTGGAACAACCCTGCGAGCCGCTGGGGCGCGGGAACAAACCGTTGGGACAACCTGGCAAATCTCGAGTTCGTCGCGGCCGCTTTCAAGCGGAACGCCGCGCGAAGCCCAGCTCTGCCGCGAGCTGCTCCGCCTCAGCCCTGGGGCTCGCCGCTCTTTTGTCGAACTGCCTGGGCACCTTTTCACAAGGAAGCCAGCGGCCTGCTGTTTGGGAACTCTGGCGTGGGCGGCCGCAGGACCAGCATGTTCCGCGTGCGCGTGGCGCGGGAGAACATGGCGTAGACGTACAGTCACCACTGTTCGTCCGACGCGCTCTTGTGACCAGCGTCCTCATCCCTGGCGCCGTTGATGGTGACGCCTTTTGCGAAGAGTCTGGCCCTGCGACAGCGTGGAAGTCAGGCAGGACGCGTGCGTCAGGGTGAACTCCAAGCGGCGCACGACTTGCGGCCACGACTGCTGCCACGTGAACTCATGCTCGCTGGGCTTGCACACGAGCATGTTCCTCGCCCGCGCCTGGGCTTCCCCGTCGTCGTCAGCGCGTTCGGCTCCCTGCAGCACGTCGCTGGCCACTACAATGCTGAGATACATGCTCTTCGCAACCCGTCGGCGCTTGCTGTCCGCCACCTGACATCTGAAATGTTCGCTCAAAACTCCTCGAGATGCTTTCACAAACGGGACGCTTGGTTCCCGCCCAGCCTTCATTACCATTTACTCATAGACGACGCTCCCGACTGAAACTTCCTCCATACTCAAGCTTGAAGACACCAACAGCGACGACCATTACAAGTTTCCGATGGTCCGCTCGGATTGGTAGCATGAGCTGCGGGCCCAGGGAAGGGCTAAAGCCTTAGATCTCCTCGCAACTCACTCATAGACGATGCGCCCGATCGATACTTTCTCCATACTCCAGTTCAATGAAATCAAACATGGCGACGGTTGCAAGGTTTCCGATGACGGCTCGGCTTAATAACATGGTCTACGGGCCCTATAGGGACGGGGCGATCGCCTGATACTTCCTCGCCATTCAATCACAGACGGATCTCCCCCTCGAGACTTCCTCCATAATCAAGCTGGAAAACAAAAAACAATGACGACTGTTACAACGGTCCGATGGCCCGCTCGTATTCGTAACATGAACTGCGGGCCCAATGGTGAGGGGGCTCCCGCCTAGACTTCCTCACACTTCACTCACAAACAAGGCCCCCGCCCGAGACTTTCTCCATACTTCAACATGAAGAAAATAATAGTAACGAACAACTCCAGTTCCCGACCCGCTGGGAATCATAACATGAGCTGCGGGAGCCCAAAGGAAGGGTATTCTCGCCTGAGACTTCCACGCAAATCACCCACACACGAAGCTCCCGCTAGAGACTTCCTGAAGATGAATGTGTGAGTGTCGGAGTGGGCTGAAAACGTGGTGTGGCGATGATGATAATGAGGAGAAGGAGAAGGATGAGGGCGTGGAGATGGCGAGTGTCAAAACACTGTGTGGTGATGACCATGATGATCGATGGTCATGATGGGATGATAGTAGCGATGGTTGGTAATGGTGCGATGACGACGACGATGATGATGTGGGGTGCTCCTGTTCCTGCGAGGAGGTGTCCCATCACGTAGAACGTGGGGAACACAAAAGTCTCGGACAATGGGGCTCATGTTCGGCAACATGACGAGCCAATGCTGGGCCAACTTCCTGATGAAGAGAAACTGAGCCATAACGCAAACGGGACCTTCCTTGAGGGGGCCGTCCTCAATGATCGACGCAGTCGCAACCGGCCTCCAAAACTCGAAGAGCCCGGAGGAGAGCCATGTGGAAAAGCTGGCCAGCCCTCTGGGCTCTAGGCGTAGGTGATTAAGCCGCCAGCTACACACTGCACCACAACATCTGTTTTCCTCTCAACGTGACGCGTATCATTCCACCTGCCCCCTCCCCGGGAATCTTGAATCTCAACTGGATCCCCGTGTTCCCCCAATCCGCGGCCGGGACCTCCCAAGAACCCACGAGCATGGCGACAATTGCGCTTCGCAGCCCCCCCGAGAGCCGCGAAGTCTCAACTGGATCCCCGTGTCCCACCACTCCGCGGGACCTCCCAAGAGCACACGGAAGTGGCGACAGTTGCGCACCTCGCAGCCCCCTGGGGAGCCGCGAGGTCTCAACTGGATCCCCGTGTCCCCCCCACTTTGCGGGACCTCCCAGGAGCCTACGAAAGTGGCGATTGTTGCGCGCTTCGCAGCAACCCCAAGGAGCAGCGAGGTCTCGACTGGATCCCCGTGACATCCCACTCCGCGGGACCCCCCAGGAGCCTACGAAAGTGAAGACAATTGTGCACTTCGCAGCCCCCCAAGGAGCCGCGAGGTCTCAACTGGATCATGGTGTCGACCCGCTCCGCGGGACCTCCCAGACTCCCGCGAAAGTGGCGACAATTGTGCACTTCGCAGCCCCCCAAGGAGCCGCGAGGTCTCAACTGGATCATGGTGTCGACCCGCTCCGCGGGACCTCCCAGACTCCCGCGAAAGTGGCGACAATTGCGCACTTCGCAGCCCCCCAAGGAGCAGCGAGGTCTCGACTGGATCTCCGTGCCCCTCCACTAACTACGCGGGACCTCCCAGGAGCCCACGAAAGAGACGACAATTGTGCACTTCGCAGCCTCCCAGGGAGCCATGAGATCTAAATTGTGTCCCCGTGACACCCCCCTCCGCGGGACTTTCCAGGAGCCCGCGAAAGTAGCGACAATTGTGCACTTCGCAGCCCCCCCGAGAGCCGCGAGGTCTCAACTGAATCCCCGTATCCCCGCACTCCGCGGAACTACCCAAGTACCCACGAACGCGGCGACAGTTGCACACTGCACAGCCCCCCAAGGAGCCGCGAGGTCTCAACTGGATCCCCGTGTCCCCCCCCTCCGCGGGACCTCCCAAGAACCCACGAGCATGGCGACAATTGCGCACTTCGCAGCCCCCCCGGGAGCCGCGAGGTCTCAACTGGATCCCCGTGACACCCCACTCCGCGGAACCACCCAAGTACCCACGAACGTGGCGACAATTGCACACTGCGCAGCCCCCCAGGGAGCCGCGAGGTCTCAACTGGATCCCAGTGTCCCTCCACTACGCGGGACCTTCCAGGAGCCCACGCACATGGCGACAATTGCGCAGCTCGTAGCCCCTGGGGAGCCGCGAGGCAAGAGGCAGGAGGAGGAGGAGGCGGAGGAGGAGACTTGGAACGCACAGTGCCTATTCAACACGAGAACCCAATACAAGAGGGCTAAGGGGGGAAAACCTTTTGAGCCGGTCACTTCTCCACCGCTTCTTCTGTCGCCACCCTTCATTCCCCCGTCCCGCTTCCCCCTCCCCCACTCCCCCTTGCCCTGGCACGGGTACTGATACCGCTGCTCTTCCCAAGGAACCCTTGCCGCCGCGTCTAGATTCGCTTCGTGATGCTGGTCAGAATGCGCCCCAGGAGAGGTAAGGTCCAGCGGTCCAGGGAACCAGGGTCCAGTGTCAGACAGGCGTCGAGGAGGAGGAGGAGGAGGAGAAGGAGGAACAATAAGAGGGACGACGACGAGGACGTCCACTAGGACGAGGAAGAGCCTCAATGAGCTTCGCAGCCATCATGCTCCGCGCGTTGCAGATGGTTGGGACCTCAACCGAAACCTCACCGCGCGCGAAGCGCGCGCGTGGTTCTGGTGTGTGTGTATATATATGTGTATATATATATATGTGTATATATATATACACCAGAAGATGCCTTGGCGCGGGCGTGGCCCCTTTGGGGGCAGCACGCCCACTTGGTCTCAGTAGGTTTGGGAGACGCCCGTCCTTGGCGTGGCGCTGGTCCCAGACCCCGCCCTGCCGCAGGCTCTCCCGGCGCAGGCCCCTGCGCGCATCCCAGACCTCGCAGCTGCCCCGGGCCACCGCCTGCAGCGTGCCGCCGTGGCCGCGCGCCACCACGTCGCCCGGCTCGAGGTGCTCCCACCGCACCCCGCCTCAGGAGGCAACCGCTGGGAGGCTTTCGTCGGAAAGGTTGAGGATCGGGGATGGACAGACCTCCCTTTAGTAGAACGGGGTTTAGTGAAAACGATTTCGGGCCCAAACCTGCGGGCGCAAGCCTGGAAAATAACGGCCGCGGCGCCCTCTCGAGAACCGAAAACGGACAATTCACTAATCGACGTGTCAGGGTAGGAGGTCTAATTATCCACCTCCGAGAGGAGGATTAAACCCCGTTTGGGAGCTATTACGCCGGAAGGGGCCTCGCATTCAACGGAATTAAACCGGATTAAGCGGGATTAAACGGGATGAAACGGGATCAAGCCGGATTAAGCCAGACTTCGGACCGGTGCATAATCAGAACTTGACCCTCCAGGAGTTGCATCCCGACCCGCCGTGCTTCAGCAGGCTCCTGAACTCGGTCATGGTCCAGCCGTGCTTCTCGAACACCTCGGGAAACATCCAAGCAGGGCTTAGAAACATACTCTCGCGGAGGTCCGTGCGGAGTGCTCGGGTCTGCGCTGAGCCCCCCCCCCCCCCTGGCGCGCGGGACGCGCCAGGGGCGGCGCCACGGGGGGGCCCAGGCGCCGATGCGAGCAATCCGCGTGGAGCTCTGAAAGTTCTGTTTATGCAATTTTGAAGGGGCCCTGGGACACACAAATAAAGACACACAAATAAAAATATTCCCCATGTGTTCCTATATTTTCTGGGTTTCTGTCTTCCCCCCCACTGCCCATATTTCCCCATAGTTTCCTGGGGAATCGAAGATTAACTGTGTGCGCGTGTTTCTTTCCCTCCTGAGTTATGTTGATGCAATTTCTCGTGATCGAGCCTTGGAATACAGCAGCGACTCCCTCTCCGTCATGTCGCTCACGCGACTCTCGGCGAACCGGCGGGCCACGCGGACGCCGCACATGCCCAGGCACACCAGGAGCGGGGCCAGGCTCCTTCAAGGGGCCCCAGGACACAAATAAATACACACAAGTAAAAGGATTCCCATATTTTCCCATATTTTCAAAGTTTCTGTCTTCCCCCCCACTTCCCATATCTTCCTATATTTTCCTGGGAGTCGACGATTCATTGTGTCTGTGTTTCTTTTTTGTTCCTCCTGGATCCTGTCGTCCAAATCTTTGAAGGATGCCGAGCCTGCGAGCTCCTGCCACAGGCAGGCCAGGAAGGTGCCCGCACCAACCTCGCGGGCGGGAAACATGTCCACATCCACTCGCCTCGAAGTCTTGGGAACCCCCAAACCGGGTGGTGAGATACCAGGTGGCGACCTGGAATCCCCAATAAGGTCACCGCTGGGTTTGGGGACACGGGGTCACCACCGGGTTTTGTGACTCCTGGACCCACCAGTGTTCGGGACATCCTCGGAAAACCGCACGAGTCCCCAAACCGGGTGGTGACACCAAATCGCCCGAGACTCACCGCCAGGTGTTGTCACCACCACGTTTGGGGATAAGTCTGGACCCGTCGGCCGTGACCCGGCAGATGCAGGCGGCTTTGCGCGAGAGCTCCGTGCGGAACGGATCCGTGGGGTCGCGTGACGGTGGGATCGCGCCTCGAAATCCAGACCACGAGGGTATGGGTATGGACAGGTTCGTCGCTCGCGACAACCACGTCGTTGGCAGCACAAGCCGTCTCCGCGAACGAGTCGATACCGTGGAAGCCAGCTCTGATGCCCCTCTCGACGCGGGCCAGCGGGCTCCCATCGGCGAAGAGGGCATCGAACACCTGCTGCGCGAAGTAGCCACACCGGCCGAATCCCTTGCGCTCTGCCTCCGAACTCAGGGCCGACTGCACGGCCTTCACCATGGAGTGACCGCAGAACGTCTCCTCTCGGCTGCACGCAAGAGTGGCTGACCCTAAAGTCGGGGCGTTGACCTAAGGAACCCTGAATAAGGAACGAGGCCCCTTTTTTCCATAAGTGAACCTTCGATTTCCTGTCGGAAACATAAGGAAAGCCTGAGGCAAACTGTGAAACACTTAAGGAACGCGGAGCCCCTCCCCAACGAGAAGGGTTCCTTCTTCAGGGCCCCGACTGTAGGCAAGAGAGTGAAGCTTGGTGCGCGGCTTGCCGATCGTTGCATGCGACCGTAGGGGCATGCGTGCTTGGGTGTTGCTCCTCGCGCGCCTCCGAAAACCGCTCTCAGAAGGTCACGCTGGCAAACAGTCACCTGTATACGTATACGTATACAGGTGACTATTTGCCGATCCTCAGCCGATCCTCGAGGGACTTCACGGGGATGGAGCTGCCACCGGCGCTGAAGTACAGGAAGAGTGGTCTCACGCTGCCCTCCGGGAAGTCGTGGCAGACCTGGTGAAGCGCTGCAGCCAACTCCTCTGGAGAGAACCGCTCCCGCGCACTCGGCGGCTGCTGCGTGTCGGGTCTTCTGCTCTCGGCCCCTGCGGGGCAGGAGCCGGGGCACCCCGGCGCATCGAGGGCCCATCTGGGGCCCACCTCTGTGGCCAGAGCCCCTCCCTCCTGCTGCCGCCAAAAATACCCCGGTCGCGCAAAAGAGACGGAGCCCACTCACGGTAAAGAGTCCGGGCAGGAGGCCCCGCAGAACCCCCCAGGCACCTCGCCCCCGACGCCCCCCCCCGCTCCTCCAGGCGCGCGCTCCAGCGCGGGGGCTCCACTAGAGACCTCCCGGGTGGGGTCGGAGTAGACGGGGTCGGAGGATCGCGCCGCATCGTCGATGCATCACCGATGCACCGGCGATGCATCCGCGACGTCGGCGTGGAGAGAATCGGGCTCCACAGCGAGCCGCCTCGCCGCTGCACCGGCGACGCCGCACGACCCCGTCTGGGGGGCCTGGATCCACGGCATCCTCCCCGCCCCATCCCTCCTGTGGGCGCCCGCCAGAGCGCGGCGGCGAGTCCGCGCGGGAGCGCCACCGCATGACGCCATCGCCGTTGGTGTCGATGGTGGTGGCGGAGCGGCCCAGGATGGAGGCGAACTCCTCCAACGTCAGGCCCGCCCTCTCGAGGGCGGTGAGGCTCGCGTCCAGCTCGCGGAGCCTCCCCTCCACGTCCCCGCGGTCGAGCTTCGTGTCGAGGCCGACGACGCCGAGGTAGGCGAGGAGGCACGCCCTCTCGCGGCCGCTGGCCTCGCTACCAGCCTCTCCGAGCCTCACAGGGGCATCGCAGCTGCACCGATGCCTGCTTCCCGGGCCTCCCTGGGAGCGCGCTCTGACCAGGATCTCGAGGTAGATCCAGCCGTGGCGACGAGGGACGGGCGGCGGCATCGGTGCCCTGATCCCCTCGGGCCTCGTGCGCACCTGCAGGTAGGAGATCCACAGCCCGAGCTCCGCGCCGCCCACTTGACGGGCTGCCCCAGCAGACTGTGCAGGACTGGGCTCGGGGGCACGACGGGCGCACTCGCCGCGGTCGTCGGGGCCTGCAGTGTCGATATTGCAGGCCTCGGACTCGTGGCCGCCATCGACCTCGAGGCGGCTGCGGAGCTGTGACACGGCGCTCAGGTTTGAGCACATCAGCTCGGACAGCACGTTGTTGGCGTGCGCGTCCAGCTCGCGGTTGTGGCCCAGCCACTCGCGGAGCCGGTCAGGGTCCCAGGACACGCACAGCACCCGCTCGGTCGCCACGACGACCTTCACCAGGGAGAAAGGAACGCGAGGAAGAGGTCGAGGAGGGAAACGAGAGGAAGAGAAGGAGGAGGAGGAGGAGGAGGAGGAGGAGGAGGAGGAGGAGGAGGAGGAAGGAGAGCTGGGAGAAGATGGAGGGGAAACATTTTCGGGGGAGGGGGCCCCAGGAGGGATGGCGGAGCAAGGAACAAGCAAAAGGAAGCATGCAGTGGGGGTACGGGAGATATAATGAAAGGACGAGGGGCGATGAGGAGGAGGGCGGACCGATCAGAGAGGAGGGGGGGGACGAATGGGAAAGAGCAAGGCGGAGGAGGGGGCGGGGAAAGAAGAGGAGAAGTAGACTGATAGAGGGGGGACGGTAGAATGGGAGGGGTGGCATGATAATGAGGAAGAGGAGGGTGGGGGGGAGGGCAGGTAATGGGACGACAGCGGGGAGAAGGAAATCGCTGGAATCCGCTGGTATCCTGGTCTCCACGATGTGGTAGAGGGGAAGGAGGATGCGGGGAGGCTGCAGAGGAAGGGAGGAGAAGGAGGAGGAGAAAAGAGAGCAGGAGGTGGGAGAAGAACGGCTGGAGGGAGAACGACATGCATGAGACAGCCTGGAGTGGAAACCTGGAGGGGGCGACTGGAGAAGAAACCACTGCATCAACATTAACTTCGGAGGTGCACGCTGCTTTCTTGTTTCGGCGCTAGCCCCCCTTGCGGCGCTGCTGGCGCCGCCCCTGGCGCTCTACGCGTGCCATGGAAGGGAACCCAGCGCTGATCCGACCCAAGAAATCCGCGCGGGTCTCCGAAAGAATCCGCCAACCCCGTCGGTGTGTGCGAAGAGGCTGTTTCGTTTGACTCGTCGCCGTCGTCGTCGTCGCCGCCGCCGTCGCCGCTCCCATCTTTTCCCTGGGCCCTCCTCCCTGAGCGCGCCAGCCAAAGCAGAAAAGTCTAGGCGAAATTGAATAACGGCGTAAGTGAGTCAATGGGAAGCCCCTTCCTTGTGATCCATTCCCCGTGGGGGGGTGTCCTCGGTCAAACTTCCATCCCCCCTGAGGGGTTCCGGGGCTCAAAGGCCCCCACGAGGCCCCCAGGCGCCCCCAAGGAACGACCAGGCAGCCCCAGGAGGCTCCCACAAGGCTCCCAAGACAACCCCAGAACTTCCCCCAAAGGTCCCCGAGAGCGCTCCAAGGAGACTTCAAGAAGCATCCTGACGTCGCTCTCCCCGTTCCCTGGGCTCTCCTTCTTAACCGCGCCAGCCAAAGCGGAACCGCCTAAGCAAGATTGAAGCCCATTCCCTTAGATCCCTTCCCAGTCGCGGGGTGGTCCTGGGTCAGAACACCATCCCCCCTGGGAGGTCCTGGGGCCCAAGAGATCCCTCAAAAGCCCTCACGAAACCCCCAAGCGCCCCCAAAGAATCGCCACGAATCCCCAGGAGGCTCCCAAAAGGCTCCCAAGGCATCCCCAAAACTTCGTGGGGGTTTGGGGGCACCTTATGGGGCCTCGTGTAACCTCTTGGGCACTCACTCTTGGGAGCGTCTGATCCCGACCGTCCCGAATGCCTCTTCCATCGTGGGGGTCATTGTCCAGGGTCGGCGGCACTGGCCGTATAGCCTTACCAATAATGCTTTGTCGCATTTTCCCAGGGAAGACCGGAGAATAATCACGCTGGCGGGGGGGCGGAAAAGCCAGCGACAACTGCACTCTCCATGTTCAGTGTGCCCGTGTTGGTCTCCTCGTGAGATCTGCTGGGGGAGACGGATACTGACTATCACCACAACCCCCAGGTGTTCAGGGTGATCGGAAGAGGGACTCAACCACAGAGCGTCAAACAACGGCATAAACACAATTTCTTGGATCGGCGCTGGTCCAGCCTCCCTGGCGCGTGGGGCGCGCCAGGGGCGGCGCCGTGGGCGCCATCAGGGGCGCCCAGCGCCGATCCAAGAAGCCCGCGCGGACCTCAGAGCAATCATGCTTATGCGATTTCTCCCCTCGAGAGCAACAACCTACACCCCACCATCGCCCCCCGCTTACCCCCCCGCGCCCCTCCCCTCCAGGTCAGGCAGCACTGGCACAGTGCAGCTCAACTGACCATCGCTCGGGCGGGCATGCCCCGTGCATCGCTTGGTTTCGCGGGCGTCTGGTCTCTCACCATGGTCCAAGGTGCGGCAATCTGGTTCAGATCTTTTGGCGCTGGCCTCGCAGAGAAACGTGCACGCGTCCGAACGGTACCAACGGTCAGGAGCTCTTGCCTTACGTGTCGCGTCGGCGGTCCTGGCGACGCGCTATGCGCTGCGAGCTAACAGCATGTCGCCTCGCACCGAGGGGCGGGAGGCTCGGACATGCAGGGGACGTCGACGCTGGGGGAGTGGAACGTGGATGGCGTGTCGCGCCGAAGCGTGGTGGGTCAGAACTGACGGCGCTGCAAGCGAAGCCAACATTCCCGATCGCGTCCAGGTCTCGACCAGGACGGCCACATCAGAGGCATGCGTGGAGCAATCCACAGATTGCCCCAAGCGATCCAAACTGGGCCCCAGTTGCACCTAGACTTACAAAGAGGACACGAGGAATCACCCAAAGACACACCCAAAAAAACCCGAGCCCCGTCCGAAACCAATGTACGTGTTGAGTGCAACCCCTGTATCACATACTGTCCGCCGAGTCCTGCCAGACAGCGTCCCGGCACAATGTCCGAATCCAGTCCAGATCTGACCTCCCCATATCCCGCCCCTCGGGGCAACCTCATGTATGATTTTCACGTCGACCAATTGAAATCGTTTCCCGTCTTCCCCTATTCATCTTCCTCCTCCTCCTCCTCCTTCTCCTTGCCTCTTCCTCTTCCTCCTCTTCTTCCTCCTCCGCTCTCTCCCCTCCTCCTCCCTTCACCCCCTCCTCCTCCTCATCCTCCTCTCCTCTTTCTCCTCCTCCTCCTCCTACATCCCCTCCTCCTCTTTCTGCACCTCCTGCTCCCTCTCGTCTTCCTCTGCCGCCTCCTCGTTGTCCTGCTTGTCCTCCGACTATGTCCTCATTTGTTTCCCCCCGTCATCTGCCACCCTCAGAGGTGTGTGACCGCCAGGGATGTCGCTTGGGACGTCCGCACCAATAATGACCCTGGAACTTGAAATGTGCAACAACTTCAAGGGTCGAGGGCGGGACAATTACATCATGCGCATCTCGCCTTCAACGCCGCGAACATCCGTATGAAAAGCTTGCAACAATGTCGAAGATAGAAAGCGGAAGGTGTTCAACATGGGCTCTCGCCTTAGCGCCGCCCACATTCGTTTCACACGTTCGAAGCAGTTTCACGGATGCGGGGCGGGCGGTTTTCAAAATGGGTCCTTCGTCTTAGCGCCGCGCACATTCGTCTCGAAGGTCTGCAGCAGTTTAGGACGCATGAAGGGCGGCTCTTACGCCACGAGCATTCGTGTTGAAACTGTGCAACATGTGCAAGGACTCGCATGGTCAAAGTCCCAGGAATTGCGTTCTGGCGAGACTAAGGATTCCCAGGACGCAAAACAGTCACGTGGACTCCTAGCATCGAACTCCCAGGGCTGACAGGGCGAGACAGTCACGTTGACTCGCGACGCTGAAGTCCAAGGAATTCTGTGTTGGCGCGATTCAAGGTTCTCAGACGGTTATCTTCCTATGGGGTATTTCCTTATTGCAATGAACGTAATTGCTTATATGGCCCTATAAAGAACGAACTTGGAGGGAGGGTGTGTTGTAACATCGTTGATGCGTCTTGGAGTTACACTGGTTCTTGTCCTCCTCCTCCTCCTCCTCCTCCTCCTCCTCCTCCTCCCCACTATCTTCTTCGCATCCGTCTCCTCCTTGACTCCGCCAAGTCTCTTCCTCCTGCTCCTCCTTCGTCCTCCCCATTCCCTCCCCAACCTCTCCGCCACGTCCTGCTCATCATCCTGTCTCATCATCTTCCTGATTTGCCACCTCCTAGACTCCGAAATTTGGACCCTCGAATCTCGATTCTCCTCGTCCTCGCCTCCTCCCTCCTCCCTTGTCGCGTCCTGCCCCTTCCCCCGTGCTGCCGAAGAAAACACCTGCTGGCTGCCCCCCCCTTCCCCATCGGGGACGCACTATCCCGGGTCGGCCAGGGCCTTTCGCGAGCCCTTGCCGTCGCTCGGACGTCCATTTCCCGTGCATTTGTCGGTTTTGTGCGTGTGTGTTTTTGCTCGGTGGTCCAGAATGGTCCTCGATGGTTCTCGCCGAGAAAAAATGCACACGTCCGAACGATGCCAAGAGCCGAGGTCGGCCACGAAGTGGCTACCAAACTCGGGCTGGCGGAGGGTGGAGGGACGGGGTGGGCTCCGGGCGACTCCCAGACCCAGGTCAGCTGGAGGATCTCGGAGGGGATTTAGGCTGACCCCCAGAAGCGCTGAGCCCCCGTCACGCGAGCCCCGACCCCAGAGAGAGGAGGAGGAGGAGGAGGAGGAGGAGGAGGAGGAGGAGGAGGATGAGGAGGAGAAGGAGGAGGCGGAAAGAGGAGGAGGAGGAGGAGGAGGAGGAGGAGGAGGAGAGAGGAGAGGAGGAGGAGGGGAGGAGGAGGAGGAGGAGGAGGAGGAGGAGGAGAGGAGGATGAGGAGGAGGAGAGGAGGAGAAAGAGAAGGAGGAGGAGGAGGAGGAAGAGGGGGAGGATGAGAAGGAGGAGGAGGAGGAGGAAGAGGAGGGAGAGGAGGAGGAGGAGGAGGATCAGGAGGAGGAGTAGGAGGAGGAGGAGGAGGAGGAGGAGGGGGAGGGGGAGGGCGGCGAGCCAGTGGCCCGCAGACCGCGGGGCCTCCCGGGTCCAGAGCCGGCGCCCCCGCAGGAAGAGCGTCTCCCCGATGGAGGAGAAGGGCGGCATGGCCACGCTGGGGCCGCCTGCGTCTGCCGCGTCGCCATCGTCGTCGGACTACAAGGCAGTTGTTTTTCAATACATGGAATTTTTAAAACAAAAAAGCGAAACATTGGATTTTAATACATGATTAATCTATGAGTACATTGATGCATGAACTCCTCGTTGTTTTTAATACTAAATCCCTGCACTTTTAATACATGATCCGCACGCGGAGCATGTATGAAAAACGGCACTGCACATACCAGACCACTCCAACCCAGCCCGAAGACCCGAATTTCGGGTGGGGGGGGGCACGAGCTTCAGATGTGCTTCTGCAGTGTTCCCCGACACCCCCCCACTGGAGATGGAGGGCAAACATCGGGGCCTTCGGGTTGGGTTGGGGTGGTTTGGTGGGCGGTGATCGTCGTCGTCGCCGCCGCCGCCGCCGCCGCGGTCATCATCGTCGTCGTCGTCGTCGTCGCCACAGCAGACCGCCCTCGCCGCTGCCGCCGCCGCCGGCGCTCCGAGGCCGTCGAGGGGGCGGCGGCTCCGCCGGAGGCCCCCCGTCGCCCACGGCCGGGCGGCGAGGCCCCTGCAAGCCTGCCCTGGATCCCTTGTGAATCGACCCCCCCCACGTCGAAAAATCCCTTGTTGGCCGACTCCAACAGCCCCTTGTTGGCCGACTCCAGCCCCCTTGTCAGTCGGCCCCTGCAAGCCTGCTCCAGATCCCATGTTGGCCGACTCCAAACCGGAGACCCCTCCAAATGCAACGTGATATTCCGGACCCCCCTCTTCGACGGGGTGCCTAAATAAACGGGACCCCCGAAGCTCCAGTCCAAAGAATTACAAAAAAACGCCCCAAAAAACCGGACCCGGGGGACAGGGACTTGGAGCACCGGGGCGGGCCCCGGGCTGGAGACACGCCTCTGAAAGCGTCGCCGCCCTGCGAAAAATGTCCTCCCAGGGACGGCATCGAGTACCTGAGGCTTCGTTTGGGCCGATCAGTTCGGCCTGGCTTCGGCTGGGAGGCATGAGAAGGGCACGAGTGGGCTTCAGGAGCGAATTTGGAGGGTGCGTCAACTTGGGAGTCGGATAAGATGTCGGCATTGACGCCGGGGATGGGATTCGCAGGACTCTTCCACACCGCGCCCGATTCTCTGTGCCTTCCTGCGCCCGCGCGAGAAGATTTCCGCGGTTGCAATGGCTACCTCTTGGACCCAACTGTTCAGCTGCGCACTGCCGGCAAAACAAGTCGGCAAAAAAAGTCGTGTAATCTGCAGGCGGGGGTGAAAGGCCAAACAAAAGATAAGGGTAAATGATGACGATGGCACGGGATTTGTATACAATAGTGCATGCTGCCATTGCTCCCTCTCCCGCCTTCAATGCTGATGCTTGCCGACCCCTTGACCAGGATCTTCAGGCGGGTGTCGCCTGAGGGAGGCGAGGACGAGGTGGGGGACGAGGACCGGGGGAGGGGGGCGCAGGAGAAAGGCGGAGAAACCGCAACTCATACCTCCGAATTTGTATAGTTTGCTCGCAACGCAGACCCTCTGAGGTCGGGATCCCTTCCCTGGGACTGGCGATTTTCAACCTGAATATTTATTTGACGGTCCCCGGGCCCAGTGAAGGCCCCCGAGGGCAGAAAACAACAGCACACCCATTAAATTAGCCTGGCGAAGAGCCCAACCATATGCAGATGCGAGCACCGTCGTAGTATGCACCGCATTCGGAGGAGCTCCCCATAGGGCCACGAAACGTGTGAGGGGTTTGCCAACGTTTGTCTGGTGGGCGCTTGCGAAAGCAGCCAGTGGGGCTGTCGGTGGAATTACCTGTGGGGCCACGAAACGCGTGAGAGATGTGCCGAATTAGGTGCGGTGGGCGCCGTCGGTGGTGCTCGCTATGGTGCCGCCAAACGTGTGATGGGTGAGCCGAAATGGGTGCGGTGGGCGCATGCGAACGCAGCCACTGGCGCCTTCGGTGGAGCTCCCTGTGGGGCCACGAAACGTGTGAGGGGTGTGCCGACATGGGTGTGCGTGGCACATGCGGGCGGTGGCGCTGGGACCTTCTGTGGAGCTCCCTGAGGAGCCACGAAACGTGTGAGAGATGTGCCGAATTAGGTGTGCGTGACGCACGCGAGCGGTGGCACTGGGGCCTTCGGTGGAGCTCCCTGTGGGGCCACGAAACGTGTGAGGGGTGTGCCGAAATGGGTGTGCGTGACGCATGTGGGCGGTAGCACTGGGGCCTTCGGTGGAGCTCCCTGTGAAGCCACGAAACGTGTGAGAGATGTGCCGAATTAGGTGCGCGTGACGCACGCGAGCGGTGGCACTGGGGCCTTCGGTGGAGCTCCCTGTGGGGCCACGAAACGTGTGAGGGGTGTGCCGAAATGGGTGTGCGTGACGCTGGCGCACACGGGCGGTGGCGCTGGGGCCTTCGGTGGAGCTCCCTATGGGACCACGAAGCGTGAGGGGTGTGCCGACATGGGTGTGCGTGGCACATGCGGGCGGTGGCGCTGGGACCTTCTGTGGAGCTCACTATGGGACCACGAAACGTGTGAGGGGTGTGCCGAATTGGGCGTGCGTGACGCATGCGGGCGGTGGCACTGGGGCCTTCGGTGGATCTCCCTGTGGGGCCACGAAACGTATGAGGGGTGTGCCGACTTGGGTGTGCGTGACGCACTGCGGGCGGTGGCACTGGGGCCTTCGGTGGAGCTCCCTGTGGGGCCACGAAGCCCTGTACTGGGTGGGTGAAACGCAGGGAGGTGGGAGGATGTGGAGGGAGAGGAGGAAGGAGGCGGGAGGAGAACGCGGGGCGCCGTCTCTTCAAAACGAAGACCCGACACCACATGATGGTTGGGAAAAAGAAGCCTCCCGTCGTGCTTGCACGGTTGACCAATAGTGACCACCGAGCCGAAACAAGCAGGCGTGAGTTCCCTTTGTGGCTTTTGTTGCAACGAGGGGGGCCTTGGGAAACGACATGGGCGAACGCACGGGTGGCAAAGGACCAGGGCAAGGGCCCCCGGGGCTCCTGGTGAGGGGGGAGAGGGCGCCCGATGCCCTGCCAGGACGGGCCCATCAGGCCAGCCGTCCCATGGAGGGACCTCCCTCCGCCCTGCCCCCCTCCTTCCGAGGGGCGAGTGCGCGCGCGCGGAAGGAATCGCAGTCATGATCGGAGGCGGGCAGGAGAAAGGCGCGCGCATTGGCATCCACATGCCCTGCGCGGACCTCCAAAATTATGACGCTCATGCGGACTGTCATCCTGCTCCGGCGAGGCCAGCAGCCGAAAGCAGACGGCTGGCCCGACAGACGAGGCCCCGAGAGAGGCCACCAGGAGGCGCCCCCAGGAGCCGGATCGCACGGCAAGGAGGGCCACAACAACGGGGGGCTTGGCGAATAGGCTCGCGTAAAATGAGCCGCTTCTCCCAGCGCCTCCCAGCACAGGGGGCGCCGATGTATCGAGGAAGGCGGCTCGCCTCCTCCGAATCCGAGGCTATTCCGAGGATGTGCCTGGAACTTCCCACGTTCGCTAGCACGCGTGCCAGTGCGATTCCGGGCACACTGTACAGTGGGTACTGACATAAGCGCGTGTTTGACATCCAACAGCGCAGTGAGATGCATCAGGCACGACATGCATTCTGCGTGATGGTAGACACTCGCCGAAGTTTCCCGCAGCCGCTTCCAGCGCTCGACGAGGGTGCCCAGGCAGGAGGGTGCAGGAGGAGGAGGAGGAGGAGGAGGAGGTAAAAAGTAAACCCAAGACGCATCAACGATGATGCAATAAACCCTCGCTCCAAAATCCTTCTTCATAGGCCCGGGCAAACAACATGTATTTTCACTCCGGCAAAATTCCCGTTGGAAGACAAACGTCTGGAAATGCAAAAACACCGTTCCTGGGACATGAACACCGTTCTTGGGACATGAACGTGAGCGTTTCGTCCTGACCACCCTGAATACTGCCAGAATGCCGCTCCTGGGACCTCAACACCGCGAGTCAACGTGACTGCTGCGCACTGACATTCCAAATTTCTGTCAGAACGTAATTTCTAGAACGTCGGCCAAAAGAATCCTTGAACCTTGTTGCGAACTTTCAAGACGAATGTGCGCGGCGGGCAAAGACCACATTTTGACAAGCACCCGCCCTCCATCCGTGAAACTCTTGCGAACTATTCAAACGAATCTGCGCGGCGCCAAGGCGAGAGCCACATTTTGAAAACCACGCGCCCTCTATCCATGAAATGCTTGCAGCTTTTCAGTCTCAGGATCAAACATGGTAGGGAACTCTCAGGAGAAACGCCAAGCCCGATCTGCCGACAATTCTCGGGGTGCGACAGAAGGAGCTATTCATAAGGAATAGGAATGGAGAAAGAGGAGGAAGAGGAGGAGAAGGAGGAGGAGGAGGAGGAGGAGGAGAAGGAGAAGTGTGAGGGATAAGACGAGGACGAGCAGCATGATGAGAGTGAGGAAAGGGATAATGAGGACGCAAAGGAGACGGAAAAGGGGGCACGAAGAGGAGCACGGAGGAGGTTGAGCCACCCACCCCTTCCTCACTCCCTCCTCGCCCTCGTCCTCAATCATCCCTTACTCGTCCCTCCCCGCCCCCACCACTAGCGCTCTTTTATTAGCAATGCTCCTCCATCTCCTCCTTTGCCCTTCTCATCTCTATCCGTCTCACTATTCTTCTGCTCCCTCCTGCATCCACTCTAGATCATCGTCTCCCACCCTCCACCTAGCGCTCCCAGAAAAACAGAACGCCCACGTCTCACAGCGGGGCAAAACCGTAAATGGCGCTGCCGCTTCGCTTTTTCACCGTGCCGCGTGGCTACAGACAGCGCAGCGCCGGTGTCCACCGACTGGCGTGCAAACGGCGTCGGCGGTAACTGACCAGTGGTGCTACGAAAAAGCAGAGGGCTCGGAGCGAGATGGCAAGCTGAGGGCCACACAGCTGTCGACCGACGAGCGCGCTAGACGACGGAATGGGAGCGAGCAGTGGAAGCGGCGAGAGCAACAGTTGGACTCAACGACGGGAAGAAAGCACCTGCCCTCCTGGCGCTGCTCGAGGGGGGTCGTTCCCACGCTCGTGGTGCTTCCCTGACGATCCCCCCCCATGGCTTGCCGGTCTTCGGGGCCCCGAAACTATGAGGGGACGGACCGCGTGGCAGCCTCCCCTCGCGGTGCGTCACCGCACCATCTCGGGACCTCGGAGGCCCTGGTCGCCCGAGACGTCCCCGGAGGACGACCCAAGGCCCCTGCAAAGCCGTGGGGTGCACCCGAATCCCAACTAGCTCACCACGCGGTGTGGCCGCCACACCGGCTGGGGGCCACCGGCGTTTGCAGGTGGCGGGCGGCGGAGGAGAGGCGAGGCGCCCAGCGGGAGGCGGAGGAACCTCCCGCGGGCGCGCGCGCGCGCGCAAGCGTCAGCGTCAGAGCTGCGGCGCCGATGCGGAGGCGCTCAGGATGCCGCCCGGCAGGTGCCTCAGCGGCGCCTCCCTTCCCTCATCCTCCACTCCTTTCGCCTCCTCCTCCTCCTCTCCCTCCTCCTCCGCCGTAGCCAATTTGGCTGAAGATCCGTAGCGGTGGCTCACATCACCTTCTACTCAGATACGGTAAGCTGGGGTTTCAGCCCCCAAGGCCTCGCCGCACTGTGCACTACGCCGGAAACTCCTTTTCGTCTTGCTCAGCGCCAGGCGTCATGGCGCCGCCGCACTACAGTACGGAACTGATCCAGCGACATCTGGTACTGGAAGACGTGCGTGAGACCAGCAGGGTATCTGGCCATTGCTCGGACGTCCATTCCCAGTGCTTTTTGTTCGATGTCGTGCGTGTTTTGTTTCGCAGGACGATCCAGGATGCTCCTTAATAACCCCGCCGAGAAAACGTGCGCACGTCCGAGCGACACCAAGGGTATGGGGCATGCCTGGGGCAGCCACGCAGATGCGAGCTCGTGCGCGGAGTGCGAGCTCGGGAGAAAGCCTCGTCTTCACGGCCTACCGCGAGCCCACATCCGTCAGCACCAACTTACGCTGCTTACAGTCGGACTTGCTTGGACAGGACACGCGAGAGGACACAAGACCCTTCCGAGGTCCACATTGCATTGCCATGGGAATGAGGGAGGCATGGGTCGAGAGACACAGGACACAAGGGCACTCTTGATCTGGCAGGATCGACCTACTAATCAGTGCCGACGGTAGTCGGACTCGGTGCAGGTGAAGGAACCCAGGTCCGAGCTCGCCGCCCTCAATCGACAGCTGGCCAAGACTTCTTCTGCCAGCAAGCCCACCACAATCGACGAGGTCGAACCGAAGGGCGACGACAAGAGACGGCTACGCGATCTGTGTGACCTCATCCAAACGGTTGGTGGCAACAACGACCCGCACCTGCTGGCCGTCACGGATGCCTACCTCAATTTGGAGTCCCGAAACGGTGCGGTGACAGACCGTGCGGTGACCTCGGAACCCCAAAAGACCTCACCGCACGGTCCGTCGGCCCAGTCCCGCGGCGCCCGGGCGAGACCCCGGGAGCCCGGGAACGGAGAAAAGCGGCTCCAGGGGCCGCTTCCCTCGGGCCACATATCGGGGGCGCGCGAACATGGCTCCATGGATCTGGCGCGCGGGCGCCAGATCCATGGATCGAGGGAGGTGCCCTCCCCAAAAGGCGGCTGGTGCCGCCGCGTGCGGCGGCGGAACTCCGCGACGTCCCATGGAAACGGAACCCGTCGTTAATCCACGCCCCCTTGATTCATGTCTGCGATGGCCTGACCATCTGCCCCGAAGGGTCCCGACCCCTTCCCCGGGGGCAGCGGGCCCACGTTGATGGTCCTGGAGCCCAGGGACGAAAGAGAAACGACGCCGCGGGTGGAAAAATCGATCCGCTGGAGATCATGGGGCTGTCATGGCGACCCCCGTCCTCCCTCGACCCCGCCCCCCAGAGATGCACCCGTCGCGCCGCCATGGGGCACTCCGAGCAGGGAGCGCCTGGGCCTTATTTCTGGCTGGGGCGAGCCGTGGCCACGGCGAGCATCGCCCGCCATAGATCTGAGGAGCAGCCCGAGAACGAGTGCCCCTCCTGAGCCCACAAGCTTGTGTTTTTTTCTGGAAGCAGGTGTCGGTAAACAAATATTTTCTCGGAATGTGACAATTCGTTCGAGTTTTCCAATATGTGTTCTCCTTAGATTCGATCAGTTCCCGCTCGTTATCCGGATCGCAGGTCGATCGGGTGGATATTACTATCAAAAAGCATGTGGGCGGGATCGGGCGTTGAGTGTCGCAGTATCCATGACTCACTGCCGTGGGAAACCCACCAGCGTGCTATACAGGCAGCCCGTACAGTAAGCATGCGCGACAAAGGTGCGAGGGCCTCGGAAGGCCACGTGAACGTTTCTCGAGCGGGGCTGGCCAGCGAAAGCGGCCAAGGAGGGGCCGAAAGGGAAGGACGCAAGGGCAGCCTTGGAAAATTGTCAATCCTTCCTGTACCGGTTGACTGTATTTACTGTTGAAGAAACAACATCATGCTTTCGGACAACAGCGACTGTCGAAAACGCTGAAGGGCTCTCAACGCTGGCGTGTCATTGATACGTTCGTCGGAGGCGGCAGGGGGGTCTGAGCTGGAATGGGCACACATAAAATCGGTCAAAGTGGGGGATACGCTCAAATCCACTCAAAATTAGTTCCCGAACCGCTCCTGGGTCCATGAATGTACAATTATTCACCCCGGATCTGTTTTTGATGGCCCTGCCAACGGCCCCCGGAGCCCGAAGAGGGCAGAACACCTTCTTGAACCTACAGCACCTCGAACCTACCCCCCCCCCCTTCCTCCTGCCTGGACCCCCAGCTGGCTCTAAATCTGGCGCGCTGACGGGCTCCCAACGCCCTGCGTTTCATTGGTACCCTTCTTCCCTTCGTGCCGACCCCGGCGCTGGTTCGTGCCACCGCGGGGATCGCTCAACCTTGAACGATCGGCCGTTTCCGAAACGTCAGCGTGTTGAACATCGACCGATTCTGGGGGTCGCTGGCGGCGTCCAACGTAGAACACCCGCGGCGGGGCCGCCGGAGGAGGAGGAGGAGGAGGAGGAGGGAGGAGGGAGGAGGGAGGAGGGAGGAGGGAGGAGGGAGGAGGGAGGAGGGAGGAGGAGGAGGGAGGAGGGAGGAGGAGGAGGAGGAGGAGGAGGAGGAGGAGGAGGAGGAGGAGGAGGAGGAGGAGGACCCCCCGAGGGCGCGCCTCGTGGCGGCGCTCTGCACCCCCGACGGCGCCGCCGCGGAGAGCGCGCTGCGGCCAGCGCCGGACAGCAGGCTCGCCGACCGCGCGGCCTGCGGACGTCGCTGTCGCCGCAGCCGTCTGTGCTCTCTGTTGCTGGTGTTCGGACGTCTCTGGGCGTTCTCTCATCTCTCAGGTTTTTTTCCCCAGAGCGAGATGACACCACAGATGAGGAAAAAGACGCGTCTCAAATGCAACCTCTTTGTCACACCAGACCGAGCACTCCATGCCCCTGGACCTCTTTTCAAGGCAGGTTCCTCGCCCGTCTCTGAGCCTCCTGGCAGCGCCTCTGGCGCCGCCCCTGGCGCGCTCCGCGCGCCGAGCAGGGAGGTCCAGCGCCATTCAAAAAATCCGCGCGGACCTCAGAAAAGTTACTACGTTTCTGTCAGCTGTTTTTCCCCGCGCTCTGCAAGCTGCTACTGCAACCTCATGTGAACCCTACATCTGCAAGCCAGACTTACCAGGGACAGGCTGGGGTTCAGTTCTCGCAGGGTGTCTTCAGTCAAGAGACACGCAAACGGCCGTGTACTTCTTGTCCCACAAAGCAAGCGGAAGGGGAGAAAGAAGGAGGAACCCGTTGCCTCTCATGAGGGCTATCTCGAACACCACAATCGAAGATTGCCACATAATCAAACAGGACAAACACAGTAATGGCCCGGACTCGGATAGCCTGGGAAGCATCCTCACTCGAAACATCGTTGTCATGCGGGCGTGGCCAAAAATTCTGGCCGCGGATAGGCGCAGTGAGAGGGAGAAGGAAAAAAGCGCAGGAAGAAAAAGAACGACAGGAAGAGTGAACGGAACATCCTTGCTCAGAAGACCAGCGCGTGCGTACACCTTTGTAAAACAACAGTTCCCAAGGTACTCACACAATTTGCCCTCACGGGAAAGAACTAGCATGGTAGACGGAGGATGGCTGAGTCCCATGGTTGAAACAAATGGCGGACAGGGCGAAGACACGCTCACAGCCAAGAGGCACCGCGAATAAAAGCACCCAGCGCGTTACGAGCATAAGCAGTAAAGGGTCCGAGGACACCCATGACAAGGCAAGAAACATGTGGTATGGCCGTAGCCTAACACAGCGGCCGACAAGAGCGGCGGGGCGCCTGCATGGGCGACCGTCGCGCGCCGTGCAAGCCTGGGGCGAAAAATAGCCAAGGGACCCAGTGCCCAACCTACAGCGGAACACGCACGAGGAGGAAGGGGAGGAGCATAACACACCAATCAAACGGCGCCATCGCCAGCAGCGTCTGTGAAACGAGCGCCCCTTCCAGCAATGAAGGGCAAGATTGCGGTGGAGAAGAAGGCGGAGGACGACGGGGGAGGGGGACGGAGGGAGCAGAAGAACATCACCCTCGACGGGCGTCTCGGCCAGCTCACGGGCCTTCCGGCTGGCCCGAATAGGCGCAACGCAGGTCAGACAGGGAAAAAAACATGTTGAAATCAGAATTCGTTGCCCCGGGCGCCTCCCCCGCGCGGTGCCGCGAGCCAGGTGACAACAAAGGACCGCCCCCCGATGAGGACGACGGCGACGGGACGACCGCGACGGCGACGGCGAGGAGGGGGGAGGGAGACCAAGAGGAGAGAAAGGCAGGAGAAGAGGAAAGGGAGGTGGGACGAGGGAAAGGGGCGGTCCCCTGCCCTACCCGTGGCCAAGGGCCCCCAGGGGGAAGCTTGTGACTGGCGCCACTTGGCTGCCAGCCGCGGATTTGGAGCGCACTGTGGCCTGTGGTTCACGAAATGGGGCCCCCGGGCCGCCCTCTCTGGGCGTCTCGGCCGGGCGCCGCGCCACCCGGGCGCGGCAGAACGGCACCGCGGCGCCTCCGAGGAGGAAGGGGGGGAGAGAAGGGATGACGACGAGGAGAGGACGACGACCGGAAGAGAGAGAGAAGAGCCCTCACACTCCGCGGCGGCTCGTGCTCGAGGATGGGGAGCCCATCGTTCCACAACCTGCCGCTCGCGGCGTCGCCTGGGCCCCGCGCGAAACTCTGCGCGCGCTGGCGCCCCGCGTCGCCTCCGGCAGGGCGTCGGACGGTGCCCCCGCCCCGGCGTGGTTGGCAGGCTCGCCGAGGTCGAGCGCCGCCTCGAGGTGGCCTCGTGCCACGGCTGCTTGCCATCGCTCGGACATTCATTTCCCGTGCATTTGTCGGTTTCGTGTGTGTGTTTTTTGCTCGGATGGTCCTCAATGGCTCTCGCCGAGAAAAAATGCGCACGTCCGAGCGATGCAACGGCTGGTCCATGACCGCGTTGGCGGCCTCGTCGTGTTCTGCAGTCGGCGGAGTCTGACGCCGACGCACATCGCTCGCCGCGCGGTGCAGCACGTTAGTTGGTCACCGCCGGCTGCTGCGACCGCGTCTGTCCTGACCAATGCGCGCATTCCCTGCGTCATAGCCTGCTCTGTCAGAGCCCCTTCCAGCCGTCTTCTGGACCATGTCTGGCCCACGGGGCAGCGCATGCAGTGCTCCACGGAGTAGTCCGCTGCACAAGGGCACCCGAGCACGCAGACCCGGCGGCCCTCCCGGAGAGACATCATTCGACGGTTCGTTGCCTATCGGCTGAAGGTTGTGCTGATCATTACCCCTGCGGGGCGTGTCCGATAATTAACCCTGCGGCGATTGGACCCGCAGGGGTAGGGTTCGCATGTGGGCGCAGATGTCCGTGGTACCTCCCTCACTGAACTCCTCATGCCCCCTTCCTCCTCCTCCTCCTCCTCCTTCTCCTCCTCCTCCCCCTCCTCCTCCTCCTCCTCCTCCTCCTCCTCCTCCTGCCCACGTGGCGCTTGACTTATCAGCCTGGCGGCTCTACTTACACACCTGGCGACTCTTCCCACTGGAGCAGCAGCAATCTCGCGCATGAAGCCCCCTGCGCCATGCGTATCGGCGGGGCGCGGCTCGAACCAGGTCCCCCAGGAAGGGGGAGCTGGAGGGCGGTCTTGAGCGGACTGCGCAAGGAAGGGAGAATGTTCAAAACATCGCTTCTGACGTTTTTCGTCGATCTCGGACTCTCGAGGCCCATTTGGGTCCTTGCGCCATCACAGTCCACCTGGGAAGAGAAACACGCTGGGATGGACGCCTGGGGGAACCAGGAATCGGTTTTGCGCGGATTTTGGTTGGGATGATCTAGGTTTGAAGCTTCTTGGGAGTTTCAAGGAGCTTTCTGTCGCCGCGGCTGGATCCGCCTCGACATCTTCGTTGCAAAGGAGGGCAGGAAGAGGAATCGGAGGAGGAGGAGGAGGAGGAGACAAAATGAGGGAGGACGATGAGGACGGAGGAGGAAGAGGGAGAAAAGGAGGACGAGGACACGGCGGACGAGGAGGAGGACGAGGAGGTAGGACGGAAGAGCGGGGGAACGGGACGAGGAAGCAGGAGGGAAAAGACAACGACGAGGACGAACGAGAAGGGGGTAATCGGGCATTGAGGAGGGAGGAGGAAGATGGACAAGGAACAAGGACGAGGAGAAGAAGGGATGGCACAGGGAAGATGGGGACGAAAAGCAAGGATGAAGGTTGAGGGATTGATGGTAGAAGAGAGTGGAGGGACCAGGGACAGAGGCGCACAAGGAGAGTGGAGGGAGCCTGACCGGAGGCGCAGCACGAGGATGCGGGGAGCGAGAGGCGTCTCTCCGAGTGCCTGGACTCTTCGAGGGAAGGGCGCACGAGAACGCACCCCCCCACCTCCACCGTCGCCTCGCGCGCAGCCAGGGACCGCGGCGCCACTCGCTCGCTGCCCCCGCCGGCAGCCCCCCAGTGGCAATGGGCACCTGGCCTGCGGGGGGGCTGCGCGGGCGTGGCTCGCCTGCTCTGTGGGGACAGCAACCGTTACCAGCCTCGAACGTATCCCTATCCCTAAGATTGGCACGCCAAACGGCGATGACAATCTGATGGATTCGCCCTCAAAAAATAAGGGAATCCCTAAGATTGGCATCGTGATGAGGAGGTGCCCAGCATAGGGATATGTTCCAGGCTGGTAAAACCGTCGGGCCTCGTGCCAGGCGGGGCAGGGCGCTGGCGGTGCGTGAGCTCTGCTCTCCCACGCGGGGGGGTCGGCGGAAGGCCCCGTGGGACCCGCGTGCCACGTGGCGCTCCCCGCGCCGCGGAGAGGCACCAGCGGCCGCGGGGCGCGGCCGCCCCCCACCGCAGTGGGCCAAGGCTCGGACCGCAGGGCAGGCGGGCATGCGGGGAGTGACCGCGCGCCTGCCCGGCGTCGGCCTAAGCTCAGATCTCGTGGGACGCCAATGCCATATGACACCGCCTCGCCCGGACTTGCGGCCAACAAGGGGGGAGGAGGCGGGTCCCGGGAGGTCTCGGAAGGTCGAGTCCAGAGTTCCCCAGGATGTCCCCATGGAGTCCTCAAAGGCCTTTGGACGTCTCCAGAAGCCGCTAGAGGCGTCAGGGGCTCAGACAGGGCAAGCAATATACCAAGGCTGCAGTCTCGAACCGAGGGAGCAAGAAGATACGGCAGGTCCAGGTCGAGTCGCTTGCCTACACCGCGTCGATCGCCAAGCCTTGAACGATCGGGCGATGTTGGGCCACTGGCGGCGTTCAAACGTCAACGTCAGCGCTGGGGTCGCCGCCGCATCAACGAGGCGCGATGCAGGCGGTGCGAACCTGCCGTAGGCATGGTGACAGGGAGGAGGATGGGAGGAGGAGGAGGTGGAGGAGGAGGAGGAGGAGGCGAAGGAGGAAGAGGAAGAGAAGGAGGAGGAGGAAGAGAAGGAGGAGTAGGAGGAGGAGAAGGAGGAGGAGGAAGAGAGGGAGACGAAGAGGAAAAGGAAGAGAAGGAGGAGGAACACGACAATGATAATGATCATCCTACAGATAACGATAATGATGACGATGACAATGATGCTCCTGATGATGGTGGTCATGATGATGATGATGATGATGATGATGATGATGATGGTTATGCTGATGCTGACGATGATGCTGCTGCTGGTCATGATGTTGGTGATGCTGATGATGATAAGAATGATACTGGTCATGTTGGTGATGTTTAATATGATGATGCCGATGATGATGAATAGCGCATGATGATGCTGATGAAGCTGGTGACGAGTATGATGCTAACGATGATCATGCTGCTGGTGATGATACTGCTGATGAGAATGATGATGTTGATGATGAGTATGAGTATGAGTATGAGTACGAGTACGATGATGATGATGATGATGATGATGATGATGATGAGGATGCTGATGGTGATGATGCTGCTGATGCTGCTGATGCTGATGCTGATGGGATGAGGATGGATGAGGATGAGATGATGACGATGACGATGACGATGACGATGACGATGACGATGACGATGACGATGACGATGACGATGACGATGACGATGACGATGATGATGATGATGATGATGATGATGATGATGATGATGATGCTGATGCTGATGATGATGATGATGATGATGATGATGATGATGATGATGATGATGATGATGATGATGATGATGATGATGATGCTGATCATCATGGTGCTGGTGCTGGTGCTGGTGCTGGTGCTGCTGTTGCTGCTGCTGAGGAGGAGGAGGTGGAGGAGGAGGTGGAGAATCAGGGGAGGGGGTGGAGGGGCAGGAGAAGGAGAGAGAGCACGTGGGAGGAGAGGTGGGAGTGGAGAAAGGAGGGCGATGGGGGGAGGGGGGGGGGGCAGTGTGCAGGAGGGGGGTGGGGAGGAGGAGCCACGCCCTGCCACCCCCGCGGCCTGCTGGGCGCCGGCGCGCCCCGCGGAGCCCGCGGCGGCGCTGGCCTGCGCAGGGGGGGCAGAAAGGCCTCCCCTCCGTGGCGTCGCTCGGGCGTCCCTCCCCTCCGTGCCTCGCTCGGCTTCGTGCGCGTTTTTGTCGAGGGCCCTCGCCGAAAAACTTGTTTGATTCGCGGGTCGAGAGCGCACCTCTTCCGGTCGAAGCTAAGCGGGCCGCGCGAAGCTTGAATTACGCAGAGATGGGGGAGGAGAAGGGGGGCGGACGCGGTCTCTCCTCGCCGAAAGACGCACACGCCCGAGCTCCGCCGACGTGCCTCCGTGCCCTCGCCCCCCCCCCGCGCGCCGCCCCCCGACTGCGCTGGGTCCCCAGAGGCCCTTCGGGGTGGTGGCGCGCGCGTGCGGGGCGCTCACGGCCCGGAGGGGCCCTGCGCCACGCGCGCAAGGCCAGGGAGCAGTCCTCCCCTCCCAGGACTTTCCTCCCCCCCCCCCTTCTCGTCCTCCTCCCAAACCCACTCCCCCTTCCCCCTCCTCCTCGCCTCTGCGACCTCCTCGCCCTCCCCCCCTTCCCATTCCTTCCCCCATTCTGCGTTGCCCTGGCTCAGGCTTGAGGGCGCAGCGTCTGTCTCCTCCTCATCCTCCTTCCCGTTCTCCCCCTCCCCCCTCCAAGAGAGAGAGAGAGACAGAGATGACAAACAACAGAAAGAAGAGAAAATGCGTAGAAGGGAGGGGTGCGGGATACGGAAGGTCCTGTGGCCCCGTCGGCAGCAGCTTGAAAGGCTGGACCCTCATCTTGTGGGCCCGCGTGCCATCGAACACGCGGACGACGACTGGGCGGGCGGGCGCTTGCCATACCCCGCCAAAGAGGGGGGGCTCCGAGATCTCCATCAGCGCCGTTGCGGCGGTGGTCATGGCGTTTTGCATGCAGATCTTATGTGTTCGCCCTGGTCCACCCGAGGTCTCAGAGGAGGATGAGGAGGAGGTCTAGGCAGAAGGTGGGGACAGAGAGCAGGAAGGGGAGGAGGAGATGCAAGAAGGGGCGTCTCTGACACCAATTTGCAAGGTGAGTGACGGACGCATCGGGGCCTCAGACAGAAGCATCATCCGTCGCTGATGCCTGGGGGGAGGAGGGTGACGAAGAAGAGAGGAGGAGGGAGAGGAGGGTGGAGAGAGGATGGGGGAGGAAAGGGAAGAGGGAGTATTGAGTGTGTGAGGAAGACGGGGGGAGAGATGGGGGGGGAGGGACCAGGAGGGAGAAATAGGAAGGGGGACTCCCGGCCAGCAAACGGGCGACGGCCCCCTCCTTTTCAGTAGAGACCGCGAGGGGCAACCAGCGGTAGTCTAGTGAGGCTTTTTGTGAAACTTCAATAAGAGCGCACACAGCCGATTCGTCCGCGCCTGCCCCCTCCGGGGGAGCTTGATTCGTCCGCGCAGGCTTCTTAACCATCCTTGGTCTTTGTGCGTTTCAGCGGCAATTGGACTTGTGAGTCGTCCGTGCGCGGGCGCAGCCGCTGCACTGCCCCAATCTAGCCATCTGCGAAAGTCGCACCAGGGGCAGGCCGAATTGCCTGAGCAGAGTGCTGAAGCAAACGACGAAGACCCGAGGCAAAGCGCGCCCAGGCGATCCGAAGGCTGCCTCGAATGCCCGCGAGGCAGCAGTGCGCGTCTCAGATACACGTGGAACGTGGTCCTTGCTCGATGCATCTGTGTGCGTGTGAGGTGCGTTTGTGATGCACGTTTGGTGTATAGTCGGGGCATTGACCTAAGGAATCCTAAATAAGGAACGAGGCTCCTTTTTTCCATAAGTTAACCTTCGATTTCCCGTCGAAAACAAAAGGAAAGCCTGAGGCAAGCTGTGAAACACTTCTTAAGGAACGCGGAACCCCTCCCCAATGAAAAGGGTTCCTTCTTCAGGGCCCGGACTGTACGGGTGGTGCGCTGGTGGTGCATGTGTGGAGTATTTTGTGTTGCTCGTCGTGTCTGCGGCACTCCCAGGAAGGAGGCTCCATCCATGGAGACCCCGGAGAACAGCACCGGTTCGTTACGTTCTTATTCCCACGCGGGCCCCATTCCAGAGGCCGCGGGGGTGAGGACGTACGCGCCCAACCATGTACATGAACACGGCCACTCGATCCGCGAGACCGTCCGCGTGATACGAACATTCGCGCAATGCATACTCTCGAAACCAACGCGGATTCATGTACGTGTACGTCCTTCTGTCGCTCCTGAACCTCCTGGACCCCACCCCCAGCGTGCACCAAGGGCGGTCGGGGGCATGTAGTGCATTTGCACTGCATTATTGGTGCATGTGCTGGTGTATTTTGGAGGCGGCCAGGGGTCTGGAGCTGGGCCCCGACAAACTCGGTCAAGAGGAAGGGGGGTGAAGGCAAGTCCGCTCAAACTCGGTCTCTGAGCCTCTCCCGGGTCCATATGATGGAGGTTTTCACCCCAGACCCGTGTTCGACGGTCCCAAGGCCCGAAGACGGCGCCCGGAGGCAGAACAACACAACAAAACCTCCTTGAGCCCAACACCTCGAATCTCTTCCCCCCTTCTCCTGCTCGCCGGAACCGCTGCTGGGCCCCCTCACTCCAATTTGCCATGCGCTGTTGGTGCACGTGCCGGTGTACTTAGTCTCCGTTCGCTCACAGACGGGGAGCGGCACGCGGCACGGGGCAGCGCGGCGCGGGGCGCGGCGCGGGGTGCGGCCGGCGCGCAGCGCGGCATGGGCGGGCCCGCGGATTCACGGGCTGGTCGGGCAGGGTCTCCAGAGAGAGGCACGCTGCAGAGCCCTCGGGCCAGGGCTGGCCAGGGAACCAGCCAGCAGGCGCAGCGGAGTACGCCGAGCAGCTTCCAACCTCCCGGCGGAACCGCCCAGGATCCTTCTGTGCAGGTTGTGTGTCGGCGCGCCGTTCGGTCGCAAAAAGCCCAAAGGGACGGCGCCGACACCACGGCAAACCCCCGGCAAACCTTGCGTCCCGCGTTCCAAGTAGACGAAGCCAGGACCACGGCAAATCCCACGGCGTTTGCCCTGGTGGCCGAGGCACCCTCACCAAGGCGGGAAGCCGCACGTCGGAACGAACGGCGCGGCGACATAGCAAGCCACCTTTCGCAAATGTTCGGCGTCCGTTGGCAATTTCACTACTGCGGCGTCGGGACTGGAAACTAACATTATCCGTATCAGAAACAATCCCAGGGAATGGGTTTAATGGCCCAGGGGTTGGCGACCCGACAAATCGAGTCGTTGAAAGTTCGGCCCCCGAACGCTCCGAAAATCTCCGCGGACTCGAAAACACATCTCCTGCTCCTCCTCCCCCCATCCTCCTTACCGCCTCTGGCAGCCTCCAAAGTCTCAGGAAGTCTCTGGAATCGATTATTGTAGATAATGCGACACGCAGCCGCAAAACAAACCCCGTTGAGCCACCACACAACAGACAGACACCGGGTGGATCCTGCACCGCGTGATTCCTGGGTGGGCAGTGCTGACATGTTTTCCACCCTGCGTCCTCAGGCAACACTTCGTTGCATGATTTCCATGCGTTCCTTGCCAAACAAGAAAATCGCATACCTAAAACAGTAAACAGTGGTCCACGCAAGAAGCCTCTGTGTCGGTCGGCGAGGAGAACCGAATCAGGAATCAGAATGGCGAGTCTGGCAGACCACCTACCCCAGTGCAGGCTCACACAAGGGACCACGACCAACTCATGGAACATCTCAAACTCAACCAGCACATTGTCTGAATTGTCAAAAAAGGCCATACCAGACAACCAAAGTGCTTGTAGTTACCGGGAACTGCATTCACGTTAGATAGCAACTACAGCCAATACACTCGACCAACACAACGGCATCAGAACATGGCATGGCCACTCCGGCAGTACGAACTAGCACGGATATAAGCGAAAGCAGGTGACCTAGATGAAGGAAATCGCCTGTAATGCCCAAAGCTGCACAATCGATGCTGTACTCCAGCGACGTCCCGTGCGCCGCAAAGATAAACCCTCAATCCGTCGCACGTGACTCATGTGCATCACATTCAAAAGCAGTGTATAGGGTGGCCCCTGAACCCGTCGTGTGAGATGTTGCAGACGCACTCCGGGCTTGGTCCACGGCACGGGAGGCAACACCACGCCTCCACAACTGCACTCGACTCCTGGAACTTTTTTTTGTTGCTGCTTCCCGCCAGTTAGCCCTAGAGGTCCCTGGATGCCTTTGGAAGCCCATGGAAGCCCTCAGAGGCCTTAGAGGCAGCCCAAGGGCCAAGACCCACAGCCAACAACAACAATTAAAGCCTTGACCGTCGAGCCAAAATGTTCGAAATCCGCTGGGAGCCGATCTCTGGACTCCTCATAGGGGTCCATCCTTGCCAGCTCTTCAGTCTGTGTCGGTTTCGGAAGGCCCAGTGGCCAGAAATGGTCCCTCCCGGGCCCCCCCCCACAAAGGAACGAATCCTCGATCCTCCCTCCTCCTCCCTCGTCTAGGCAGCGTCTTATGCCGGTCGTCTGTCGCGCCGTTGTCCCCGTCTCGGCCGCCGCCGTCGCCCTTGCCGCCTGTGGCTGGCTTGTTTCTCCGCCTGGACCTCGTGCTCCTCTGTTGGTGCGGGCGAGGCCAACCTGGAATCCTCCTGGCGGGGTGACGGGAAGGAGGCCCAGACCCACGCAAAGTCGGCCTCTGGACTCCACGCAGCCCGTGCACGGCCGCTGCGATGGGAAACCGCGGGGCGACGCCCGAGGCCTCCGGGACAGCGGTATCGACCTCGGCCTTCGGCCCTCTCCTCGCGGGGGCCGTCCATCCTTACCGCCCTCCTCTCGTGGGCCCCGTTCGGGGCCGTCGATCCGCCTGCGGGGGGGTCTCGGGCGGGGGGGAGTCCTCGCCCGAACTCGTCCGCCTCGTTGCCGAGCACCTCCGCGCGGGCCCCGTTGAGCTCTGGGCGCCGCCTCCTCGGAGCTCCAGGAGTGTGCCGATCTGGGCCTCACCCCTCCCTCCTTCCCCCTCCGCCTCCGCCTCCTCCTCCTCCTCCTCCTTCTCCTTCTCCTTCTCCTCCATCTCCTCCTGCTCCTCCGCCTCGTTATCCTGCTCCTCCTCCTCCTCCTCCTCCTGCCTCTCCTCCTCCTGCCTCTCCTCCTGCCTCTCCTCCTCCTCCTCCTCCTCCTCCTCCTCCTCCTCCATTTCGTGATCCGCCTCCTCACCACCACCACCACACTCATCAACATCCATCCACCTCCACCTCCTCCCCCTCCTCCTCCTCCTCCTCCTCCTCCTCCTCCTCCTCTTCTTCCTGCTCCCCGTTCTCCATCATCCTATACTTTGACCAGACTTCACCCGAACAGGTTGTGCCGTCAACATACTCGTCCTCCGCCTCCGCCTCCTTCTCCTCCTCCTTCTCCTCCTCCAGGATCGAGCGTCGAGCATCGATTATGTACTTGGGGTCGTTTTCGGCGGCTTTGGCGGCTTCGGGGGCCACCATGGGTCTACAATGACCTCTGGCGTCTGCGGGAGGCCTCTCCCCATCGTCGTCCTCTTTCGTTTGCCGTCTGCCCCTCACCATCCACATCCAGCCACGTACTCCCCGCACACACGCGTCACACATCCGAACGCAGATCGGCCCTTGCCTCGGATCAGCTGCGGTCACGGTGCAGCCTGGTGCCGACGGCAGAACTGAGGCCGCTGCATTCCGCTGATGGCCACCTGGTCGCCAGGCACTGGCGGCCGCCAGGGCATTGTCTCCTGCGGGCGGAGGGGCGTGGACATCCTCGAGCTCGTATATGTCCCTCGTGCGCGCGCTCCGAGAGCACACGCCGTTGGCATGTCTTGGCGGTCATGGCTTGCCAAACAACTGAGCGCCGAACATACACGGACGCGAGAGGGCATAGCGGCCTTGAGCCATGTCTCGCGCGGGCCGCCGGCGTGGCGCACCGCGCGGAGAAGAGGTGGCTTACGCGCGGCTCACGCGCGAAGCTTACGCGCGAATGTCGGCTCAGAACGCGCGGCCAATGTCCCTGACCGTAGACACATACGATGAGACATCTCACTACAAGAAGTGCTGGGGCACACCTTTCGTCGACATTTACATGGGGATCAAGGTGGCCCCGAGCTTCTGCGGGCCTCCAGGGTCATCGGCTGTAGCTTCTCAAGGTTCGGCGGAGGAATCGTGAGGTGGTCCTCATGCATGCTGTGGAGGTGCCTCGTCAGATTCTGCGGCAGAATCGTGATGCAAAGCCACGACTGCACCGTGGTTCGACAGCGGAGAGTCTGACAAGCCACAAGGAGCTGGACAACATTCAATCGCCCGATCATGTCCGCAATAAAGATGGGGACGCACAGATGGGGCCAACTTTGAAAAAAGAGCCCGCTTTGCACGAACTTGGAAAAACGGATCGTATCTGTCAGAAAGAGCCCGCTATGAAAACGACAGCCACAGGAAATGCTTTGTAATCAACATGTCCGTAGGAACCAATGCGAAGGGAACGCGCTACTCTGGGCCAACCGCCCTGCCTCCGCGCAGCAAGAGGTGATCCTTCAAACAAGAACACGCAATACGTGGGACGCAAGAGCACCATGTTGACACCGACTCGCCCTACATCCGCGTACCTATTGCAGATATCGATGCTGCGGCTCACATTTCGCGAGTAGGGCTCACCCGAGCGTTCGATTCAAAAACGTCCGTCTCGTATTCATCAAGATCACGGGTAGTTGGTGTTGAGGATCACGCAACATGGATAGAACCAAGAGGATCAGACAACATGACTACGACCCCGACACACACACCAACCCAGACTGCAAGCTATTTGAATGTGTACTTACCGTAGGGTCGAACTTGCGAAGACATTATGGCGATGCCGCGATCCTGGAATCTGGCAGCCCTCCGATCGTGAAACTGTTCGAAACCTTTGGCTACGGGGTACGCTGTGGAACGCCCGGCCCGCTCTGCTGGCACACCTGGTGGTGCGACGACGAAACGCCCGATGCGCTGCAGAAGGATGGGTTGTGCAGGGTTCCAGGACCTCTCGTGATGTCCTCGTCGGCCCAGAGGCTAGCAGGCGTCTGAGCGGGGCCGCCGACTGCAGAACTGGCGATGCCAGTGTACCCTCTGGACCCAGGCGGCGCAGGTCTAGGCGCGGACTGCTGCGACTGGGACACCGCGCTGTGCGGATGGCTCGAGCCCTCGGCATGACTGCGAATTCTACGATCATCGCCTTCGCGAATCGCGCCCTGCGAGGCGCGCTTGTCCCCGCGCCCTCGCGATGCCGCCCCGGAGAAGGGCACTTCCCCAGCCCCAGGATCTTCGCGCCCCTGGGGGTCGCACTGCAGAGAAAGCGGACGGGGATGGGGGGGGGGGGGCAGGCTCGTCCGACAGGTGGTTCGCCCCCCCGCGTCCGGCGGCTTCGCGTTCGAGATCAGCTTGGCCAGCTGTACGGGCGACTTCCACGCGAGCAGCTCCTTGCGCATGCTCTCCTGGGGCAAGAGGGTCAGGCCGACGAGGGCGGAGAGGGGGAAGGAGGGGGCAGACGAGGGGGGCGGGGGGAGGAGGAGAACGGGAAGGGGGTGGGGGTGGTGTGGGGTGGGGGGGGGGGCAACACCCTCTGTCCATCAGGTGCGGCCGTACGGAACGAGGCGCTCGCTCGCGCGGAGGAGGAAGGAGACGGCTGCGGCAACCGCTCCCCCCCGCACTGCGCACGAGCCCGAGCGTGGGAGCCCGAGACCCCAGGACCCAGGAGGCGCCCGGACGCTGCGCCGCGCTCCCGCGCCTCCCAGAGCCCACTGCGTGCTCGCGAGGTCCCACGAGAGAGCCCCAGGCTCACCACGGGGAGCGCCACCCCCCCCCCTGAGAGACGGGGGCCCCCTGGGGCCTGCCGTGCGAAGACGGGCTGCGTTCTGGCGGGGCGCCGCCCTGCCGGACCTCGGCCTCGGCGGGGGCACGCCCGCCCACGGGGGGGGGGGGGGTCGTGCCCGCCCCGCCCGCGGAGGCACGGAGGGTGGTGTTATGTCGGGCGTGTCCCCCTACAGGGGGATTTTCGCCGAAAACTTAAAAATACCACAGAAATACCCCAAGAAGGTTAACAAATACTCAAAAACTAGTCTCCAGACTATTGTTGGACTAGTTTTTGTTATTTTTGAATAGTTTTTATTTTTCGTCGAAAATCCCCCTGTAGGGGGACAGGCCCGACTCAAGGATGGCGGTGTGGGCTCCGGCGAAGGCGCGGCCCCGTGGCTTTTGGGCTCGCACCCGGACTCCCCGAGCGCGAGCACGGGAGGTGGAGCGCACGCCTCCCCGTGCGCTTGGAGCTCCACTCCCTGTGCTTTTGGGGGCTTTCGTGCGCGGCTTCTTCGCAGGATGATCCAGGATGCTCCTTGACAATCCCCGCGTTTTTTTTGTGGCCCACTCCCTGTCCTCAATGCTCCAGGATGATCCAGGATGCTCCACTCCCTGTGCTCTTTTTTGGAGCTTCGTGCGCGGCGTTTTCGCAGGGTGCTCCAGGACGCTCCTCAAATAATCCCCGCGGAGAAAAAGAGGGCACACGTCCGAGCTACACCGAGACCCTGTTCGGGCCAGGGCGAGAAGCTCCGCAGAGCGCCTCTGCTGCGCACAGGCCCGCGCGGCTCTCCTTCGGACCAAGGGACGGGCCGACATAGCAGAGCGGGCCAGGCAAAGGGAACAGAGGGAGCGGGAAGCGAGGGACTAAGGAGCCAGACTCATCCATCCTCCTTGGCCCCACCACGAGTTCACAGAAGCTTCCTGGAAAGACCCGCCCCCGGGTCTCGAAGCATGGTTGAAACAAGACTGGGGATCGCTGAAATCCTTGGCGGCCGTGTCCCTTGTGGCCGTACCACCCCTCCCACAGACAGCAAGGTTTCGGCGTCAAGAGGCGCAAATTGGAAATCCAGCCTGCGCCGAGCGCTTGGGCGGCTAACCATCTGCAGCCGTCCCCCTAAGTTATTATGATGGTGGCCTCATCACAAAATGCGTGTAGATTTTCGTGGCCCCCACCTCGAGCACTTGGCAATCCTCCCTGCTCCTGAAACTCCTCCTCCTCAGCATCCTTCTCCTTCGCATTGTTCCTCCCCGGCGAGCGGCGGAAGCTCCTGCATCATGTGCATGTGCTGGGTCGGATCCTCTCTTGCGCGAGGAGGGAGGAGATGAAGGAAAGGGAGAGCGAGCCAGGGAGGAAGAGAGAATCGAGGAGCGGGCATGGAAACTAAGGATGACGAGAAAGGGCGAGATGCACGGCGCGGTCGCGCGCTCCCTGGGTGGCCGCGCGCCGCTTGCGAGGCTGCACCTAAGCAAGTCCAACCCATCATATTCTTCGTCCTGCTCCTAGTCCTCGTCCTGCTGCTCCTCCTCCTCCTCCTCCTCCTCCTCCTCCTCCTCCTCCTCCTCCTCCATCTCACACAACCGTCACCGCCATCGCAATCGTCATCGCCAATTGCATCAGCATTAGCGAAACCATCCCATCCCACCACTGTCGTCCACTGCTTTCCGCTCCTGGTCGTTTTTCGTCATCGCCTTTCAACCTGGCCCTTCGTATTCGTCGTCGTCTCCTGGACGGCTGATTGGTTTTCACGCCACTCGTGTGCCCCGCAGGGAGTACCAGACGAAAGTCGAGTGAGCCTATGGGCTCCACTTGTTGTGATAAGCCAGCCTCTTCCTCCTCCTCCTTCTCCTCCTCCATGTCTTCTCCTTATGTACAACTTCTCCCTGTCGCACCCCGAGACTTCCTCATTCCTCACCATTTATGGCCCTGAAGCTCAACAATCGACAACAGTTTCACAAATGGAGGGCGGGTGGTTTTCAACATGTAAATCTCTCCTGAGCGCCGCGCACATTCGTTTTAACAAATCGCAAGAGCTTCACGGATTAAGGGCAGTTCCATTTCAAAATGTGGCTCTCGCCTGAGCGCCGCGCACACTCGTTTTAACGCATTGCAAGGGTTTCACGGATTAAGGGCGGTTCCATTTCCAAATGTGGCTCTCGCCGTAGCGCCGCGTACATTCGTTCTAACACATTGCAAGGGTTTCATGGATTGAGGGCGGTTCCTTTTCACAATGTGGCTCTCGCCGTAGTTCCGCGCACATTAGTTCTAACACATTGCAAGGGTTTCATGGATTGAGGGCGGTTCTTTTCAAAATGTGGCTCTCGCCTCAGCACCGCGCACGTTCGTTTCAAAATATTGCAAGGCTTTCACGGATTCCCATGATCAGCGTACCAGAAAGTGCATGTTGGAAGGATTCAGGCTTATGAGGACGCAACAATTGATTCGCGGCGTTGACGTCCCCAAAACGGCGTCCTGGTACGATTCAGGATCGTCAAAACGCAACTGTCAAGTTTATCCGTGTCGTGGGCATCCCGATAACGATGGTTTGGCATGCATCAGGGTCTTCAAACGGTTGTCTTCCAACGAGGCAGTTCCCTCAGTGGAAATAAGCGCTTGTAGGGGCCTGTGAAGAGGGAGCTTGGAGGGAGGGTTATTCCAACATTGTTGATGACTCTTGGGTTTACACTGGTCCTCCTCCTCTTCCTCCTCCTCCTCCTCCTCCTCCTCCTCCTCCCTGCCATCCCCTCCCGCCCCTCTCCTCCCGCCCATCCCTCCCCTCCTGCCCCTATCTCCTCTTCCTCCTCCTACCCCTCCCCCTCCATCCATCCCCCCCCTCTCTCCTTCCTCCCCACCACCTTCCCCTCCCCCGCCTTCCCCCCCCCCCCCCCATCCCCTCCCTCGCGGGGGGGGGGGGAAGGGGCATCCTGCTCCAGCGGCATCCCTGGAGCAGCGGCGCCGATGCGGCCGCCGCGCGTGGGGCGGGCGTTGGCCGCGGGCCGGCGGGAGCCCAGCGACCCCGTGCCGCGGGGGGGGTAAAAAGAGGGCCTCGAACCGCTCCCGGGGGGGGGGGGGGCGGAAGGATGGGGGAAGCTGCGGAGGGAGGGGAGGAAGAAACCTCATTTGATGGACGCGCCCCTTGTGACACCGCTGGCCGACGCGCCTGGCCCCGGTGGGCACCAGATCCAAAACGGCTGGTGTCGAGGCTGCGGATGCATGAGGGAGGGGATGGGAGTGGAGGAGGGGGGAGGCACAGATATGGAAAGAGGGGGAAGGGAGGAAGGGAGGGGTGTGCGGGGGGAGGTGTTGGGATGGAGGAGGTGTGGGAAAGCAGGGGGAGGTGTGGGCAGGAGGGCGTATTGGATCTGTTCGTCGCCCCGCGCACGGTCGAGACTCCAGCCGCACGCGCGGCTTGGGGGAAAGAGGGGGATGGAAGGGGGAGGAAGAAAGGAAGGAGGGCTGGGGGAAAGGGACGGGATGGAAAGGGGAGACGGGGAGAGGGAGGGCTGACAGGGAAGCGCGAGGAAGGAGGGGGAGGGGAAGGGAGCCAAGGGCAAGAGGGGGAGGAGGGAAGGACAAGGCAAGACAAGACAGCTGCCTATAAGGAGGCGGCCCCGCCTTCCTCTGGCAGCGCGCCGGGCAAGAAAAAAACTCAGCACGGCGTGAACACATCTCGTGGGTGGAGTTTCAATATTCGCGAAAGCTGGTGTGGCCCCGTCGAAATTGGAATTCGGCCCGACTGTTGGTCTGATGTGCCTCGAGGAGGGAAAGAAGGGGGAGAACGGAGCGGTTTGCCTCGATTGCTCTCTTCCAGCGCCGGTCACTCTCCAAAGACAATGTTGGCAAGAATGGTGCGCCCAGGCCCTCGCCAGCGATTCTGGGACAGGCCCCGCACCATCTTGGGTGTAGGCGTCAATCAACGCAGGCGTTGAAGGATACACGTCTTCACTCGCGGGGAATGTTGTTGGTGAGCAGGGCCTCTGGCGATAAACGTGAAGGCGAGCCCGTGGCCTCTGGAAGCACCACGGGGGGCCCTGCCCCCCGTCGGCGCAGATGGCCGAGGACCCCAGGGATGCAGCAGTCTCGGCTCGCGCCCTGCACAGTCAGGCTGGCCCCAACCAAGTGAGGGCGGCATACTGCGCGCAAGCAGGCGAGCCCAACTACGACGGTGAGGAAACATAGCGAAAGGGAGTTCAGTGCGTAGTGAAACGACCTCCAAATTCAGCCCATTCCTTCGGGTTCAGGAACGCGCTTGTCCACGTGTCTGCGAAGCCGTCGGCCCACCTCATTGCAAGGCGCGCGATGCGGTCGCTCTGGCTCTGGACCCGGCTTGGGCTCCACAACAGCACCTGGTAAGACCACTTGTGTGTATCTTCCGACAGAACTTTCCCAACCAACTTCCACTTTCCGGCTCTGCGCTGCGCGATCCAATCGGCGATCCCGACGTCCTCCAGACGGTGTTCGATATCCTGGGTTGTACATTGAATCCTCTCCAACCCTGGTTGCGACATGTTTCTTTTGTCTTCTGCGCCAGAGCTGCACGACGACGAATGGTAACGATCGCGCGTTTCCCTCCTCCTTCCAGAACCCAGAACTAGGCGTGGCATTTAGCGTCGGTTCTTCAACAACGTCCTCTCCACGCCGGCCGTTAGCGTCCAGCAGGCTGCGCCGCATGGCGCGCGCGGAGTGACCGAGGAGTCGAGCAACCGCAGCCTCGAACGAAGTGGAAAATCTGCGTTCGCAAGTTCATCTTTGAAAACAAATAACTTCCCCCATGCGCAGTGCATCCTGCTGTCCAGCTCCACAATCTGCAAACATTGAACACAAATTGTTGTCGCTTCGCGAATCCCCACCAGCCCATCCAGAAACGATGCCCAGAGGAATTGCCTCGATCAGAGAAGTGGGCAGCACACAGAGGAAGCCATTATGAGACATCTTGGGATATCTTGAGCCATCTTGGAGGTCATTTTGGGCTCTCCCAGACGCTCTTGGAGTCATCTTAATCCGTGCCCCCCCCCAAGAGGCCTCCATGTGGCTAAAACCTGTGTAGAATCAATGATTAGGCATTCTCGCCGAGGCCTCTTGGAGCATCTTGGGTGCATCTGGGGGGGCTCTTGGGGCCTCTTGGGGGTCTCTTGGGGGCCTCCGGGGGGCCTCTTGGGGGCCTCTTGGGGCCATTTTGGGGCCATCTTGGGACCTCTTGGGGCTTCCTGGGCGCTTCTTGGGGCCATCTTGGAGGAGATCGATCAAACAAGAGGGGGGGTTTAATTAGCGTCCCCCCTCGGAAGCCCCTAAAATCGCCTCTTGGACCCCTCTTGGAACGCTCTTGGAGTGCTCTTGGGCGCTCTTGGGGCCGTCTTGGGGCTCTTTTGGGGCTCTCTTGGGGCCCTCTTGGGCCATCTTGGAACCATCTCCAGGCCTCGGATGGCCATCGGAAGCGAAAAGGCGAGAAAGCAAAAATCATTGATTTTCCTTAGGTTTTGGGACGATTTTGGCCTCTTCGGGGCCTCCTTGGGGAGCTGTTTGGCCACTTGGAGTTATCTTGGGGCCGTCTTTGGGCTTCTTGGAACCATCTTAGGAGCCATCTCGAGCGATCTTGCGCTATCTTGAGCCATCTTGGAGCTCATCTTGGGTTCTCTGAGGCGCTCTTGGAGCCGTCTTGGGCCATCTGGGACGCTCTAACTACCCGCGGCCCCCCCCGTCCAGGTCCAGGGGAGGGGGTAGGGGGAGGGGTAAACCCCTCCCCAAGGGGGAAGAGGGAGGGGTGGAAGAGGATCTGCTCTAGACCACCTACGCCCAGAGGGCTGGTGGGATTATCCTGCACAAGGGTTTGGTGGCCGGGTCGCGCTTCAACGTTCCAATGTGCATCCCGTTGACCATGGCGTGACTGTCGCCAGCCTCGCATTTCCTAGCCCGCACGTTGGCCAAAATCTTGGTTTTCCCGGTATGCAGAGACAAACCGAAACTCGCACACGCCGAAACCACATCTGGAAGCATGCGCTTCAGACCCGGCACGTTACTGTTCAAGAACAGCACATCGTCTGCAAACCGCAAGTCTGTCAACCTTTTCACCACCCAGTGGAAAGCCACATGAACTTGTCGCCCACGACGCCACGAGCGGCCAAACAATAAATCCCACCAGCCCTCTGGGCGTAGGTGGTCTAGAGCAGATCCTCTTCCACCCCTCCCTCTTCCCCCTTGGGGGGGGGTTTACCCCTCCCCCTACCCCCTCCCCTGGACCTGGACGGGGGGGGCCGCGGGTAGTTAGAGCGTCCAAGATGGCCCAAGACGGCTCCAAGAGCGCCTCAGAGAACCCAAGATGAGCTCCAAGATGGCTCAAGATAGCGCAAGATCGCTCACGATGGCTCCTAAGATGGTTCCAAGAAGCCCAAAGACGGCCCCAAGATAACTCCAAGTGGCCAAACAGCTCCCCAAGGAGGCCCCGAAGAGGCCAAAATCGTCCCAAAACCTAAGGAAAATCAATGATTTTTGCTTTCTCGCCTTTTCGCTTCCGATGGCCATCCGAGGCCTGGAGATGGCTCCAAGATGGCCCAAGAGGGCCCCAAGAGAGCCCCAAAAGAGCCCCAAGACGGCCCCAAGAGCGCCCAAGAGCACTCCAAGAGCGTTCCAAGAGGGGTCCAAGAGGCGATTTTAGGGGCTTCCGAGGGGGGACGCTAATTAAACCCCCCCTCTTGTTTGATCGACTCCCTCCAAGATGGCCCCAAAAGCGCCCCGAAGGCTCCCCAGAGCGCCTCAAGAGGGTCCCAAGAGGCGCCCAAGATGCCCCAAGGCGCCCAAAAAGCCCTCCAAGAGGCCCTCAAAAGACCCCCAAGAAGCTCCTTCCCCTCCTCCTCCTCCTCCTCCGATTCTTCCTCCTTCTCCGTCCTCCTCCTCCTCCTCCTCCTCCTCCTCTTCCCCCTCCTCCTCCTCCTCCTCCGACGACGACGACGACGACGACGACTCCTCTTCCATCCTCCCCCTCTCGGGGTCTGTGACAGCTTCCCCCGCCCTTTGTTATTCTGCATGCTCCCCGACTTCCCTGATCACCTCAACTCCCCTGAGCATCGTTTCTGGATGGGTTGGTGGGGATACGCGAAGCGTCAACAATTCCAACACTGAGCTGAAGACCGCCAAGCTCAAAGTAACCCCCCTGTTTCGAACGCCTTCTAATGCAAAGCCCGCGGCTTGAACAATCGAGATGAACCCAACCTTCCTGGAAGCGTACATCTATTGTAATGGTGCAAAGTACGGCCTCGGCGCTCCCTGTCTCAATCGCGCTGCCAAGATGCTGTCGTGTGAGATGATGTCAAAGGTTTTTTGTTTTGAAATCTAATGCGGCAATCCGCGCTGGCCACCCCCACTCATCACGAGTCTCCTGAAGCAGCGCGAATGCGAGAAGATGGTCCTCAGTGGTGTAATCTGCGCGGAACCTTGCCTGATCAACGCATTGCGCCGCGTCCAAGATTGGCGCCAGGCGTCTCTGGAACAATCTGCTGAAAATCTTGTACAATAACGGTATGGTCGTGATTGGGCGATTATTTCCGTGCGAGCGAAGGTCGCCGTTCTTACAAAGAACGATACTTGAATATTGCCTGCCACTGTCTGGCGTCTGTGCGCACAGGCCAACAATGTCAGTGAACAGGGCGGTGATCATCTCTGCAAGGGCGTCTCGACCATCCTTCGATAGTTGGCTTTTTTATGCCTGCCCTGTCCGTGGCCTTCCAAATTGTAGTATTTCGATATCATGCCGAATCCCATCGCACGTGAACGGCGGTATGCATTCACCGGCTGCTGCCTCCTGCACAATTTGCGGCCCTGTTGCCCAACATAGGTCCAAGTAAAATCTGAAATGACGCCTGCCATTGCCAGTCCCTCCCGGTGAACTTTCCCACACGAGGTCTACAGCTACCGCAATAAGAACTCGTGCTCGGATCGATTCCGCCCGCGGTATGTGTTTGATCCCGTTGAATTCAACCAACATTACACCTACTCGTTGTCTCTGGTACTGTCTCCGTATCCGTGCAACCTCCCTCTAGCTGTTTTTGCTAATGGCTGTTCGTTCGGACGACCGCTGAGGGGACGAATCCCTCCGCTCAGAAATCAACATATCAAGGTAATCGTACTGTTTGTCTATCCTGCTCGATTTCGTCGGCACCCGTGCTGCTTCCCTAGCTGCTTCGCGCATTGCATCCTCCAGCTCGTTGAACCAATTGTCCACGATGCCGTTGCACAGCTCTGGGCCCCCCATCTTCAAATCTATTTGTTCCCGAAACAATCGGGGGCATCCGCTTGCCGTTGCCTGGCTTGCCGGCAGCGTCATCTGTCCCAGGGGCAGAAAGAAACCGGGAAGTACGTTTCGCCTCGGCCTTCTCGCAAACAAATGTTCGTCAAATTCAGGCCCTCCAGCCTGGTTCAGTGTTTGAGTAGCCGACCTCTGCAATTGCATCCCTGCAAACCATATGTGCCTCTTGTATGCTCTTCGTCTTCTTCTGGAACGCCCACCTCTTCGTTGAAGTCGCCCCCGATGACCACCGAAAGTGCTACATTCACGCTTCAACTCCAAACGAGTTGCTTTACCTTCACGCTTGAACTCCAAACTTCACGTTACATTCACGCTTCCCCTTCTGTACTGTTGCATTCGAGTACTTGCTGTGACGAAGAAAACAAGGATCAGACGAACCAAGCCACTGCGCCACTCAACGTCCACAATCAGAACCCGCAAACATACATGCTGCCAGTATTGCCTGCCCACTTACGGTATAGCAGGTTGCCCACCCCTCTGGAATTCTCCTCCCATCCACAACCCTTATCAAAACTACATCCCAAAAGAACCCCAGAACTCCCTCAAAGGTTCTGCCGCTCCTCCGTCTGATTTCAACAGCCTGGCATCCATTAAAAAATGAATAAATAGTTTCTTCGGTCCCTCACATAACCGATGATCTTCACGTGCACGTTGTTGGGCAAACTCTATTGCACACATTACCGCACACATGTAAAGAAGCACGTCGCCATATACTTGATGGTGCTTCCATCTCCTTCCGCCTCCTCGCCCCTCCCCTTCTAAACCTGATCTTGTAGGGGTTGTACTTGGGCCTTGGCTGTCGATTTGGCCTTGGCTGTCGGCATGGTCACAGATCCTCTGTGGTGCCCGCCAGCTTCCTTGTCCACGTCGTCATAAAGGACTGCGTTGCCTCTTGGACTGTACTCCCTTCCCCTTCCTACTGCAATCCTCGTAAGTCGACGCCTGACAAGGCTTCGACTTGCAAGGCTTCCAAGGCGTCGACGCGGTACTTGCAATCCCTCGCACGGCCTTCCAGGCAAACGCGAGCCAGCCTGACATGGTCCACGCTACGCGCTACGCCCTCCTTTGCCCTGGTGCTCGGCGAGTCTTCGCCGAGCTCCTCGTCCTGGTGGGGTGCCCCGAGGTGCACCCGTGGCCGCTGCAGACGTCCGTACCCCTCTCGCCCGCCACCGAGGACCGAGCCGCCGAACCATTGGCCATTTCACTTCGCTGCTCCCGTTGTAATGAAGAAGGCGGCTCTCGGCGCAGAGGCTGCGCAGATCAAGTGCGCCAATGGGCTGCGGGATTCCGTGCAGCGTGGGCAGGGGGCGTCCGTGAAGGCACGGCTTGGATGCAATTACCATGCCTGTTCTGGAAAGCGAAGCAGCTTCACGAGCACATCATTCGCGCGGAGGTCTTGCCAGACAATGTGGCGTTTCATACTTCCCCCTGTACATCCTGTCGCAGACAAGCTGCTCCGTACTACCGCTGGCCCAAGCGTCTTGTCGCGGAGCGAAATCTGACTTGGTTAGACGTGACTGGATGAAGATGTCATAGCAGGCCTGGCCACAGCGATGAGGAAGACGATGACGAAGACGATAATGACGACGACTACGGGAGGGGAGGGAGGGGAAGTACGAAGGAGGGAGGAGAAGGTACGGAGGTGGGGAGGAGGATGGAGGAGGCGGGAGGGTAATGAGAGAGTCCCACGATGCCCATGGGTGCTCCCAAGTCACCTCCTCGGCGCTACCAAGCAACCCAAATATTGACCCACAGCGCGGGCCCAGGAAGCCTATCCGACCCTGAAGCCCAGGAGAGAGGGGAGGAGACAGTGGAGGGGAGAAGGCATAGTAATCAGGGGGGACGACAACAACGATCAGCGGGTAGAGCGGGGGGATGAGCAGAAGGAGTAGCAGAAGGGAGGGGGAGGGCGGAGGTCGCCGATATGGGCGAGGAGACCCAATTTTTGCTCCATGAACGCGACATCGCTGCGAGAAAAACAACCAAGCGGGTTAACTCTGTTGGCGGCGCCAGCGAGGCGGGGCGAGTGGTGGCCTTCTTGGAAGGCGGTTGGCTCCTTAGACGCGGTACACTCAAACTGATAGTGAGGCTGCGCGATAAGGATGGACGCCTCTTGGACCAGCACGTCGAAGCGTTTCGAGAGGGGCTGGCCATGGACAGTGGCTAAGGATGGACCGGAGAGGCAAGAATGCAAGGGTACCCTTTGGGATAGCTGCCTGTTCTCATCATCGGTTTGGACTTTCGAAGGCTTCTCGGCAGGCAGGCAGGAGGGCGTCTGACCCCCGACCTCCTAACAGGGCGGACCTCCTCGCCCTGCCAATCTCCTGCGCGCCGCAGAGACTCTGCCCAGTGCCCCAACGCGGCCAGGCAGGTCGAGGCAAGGACAGCGGCAGGAGCAGTCGCATCCAGGACGCGCTGCAGTGCACGCTCGATAACGGTCCACTCCCTGGCAGCCGTGCGGCAAATAATCATCAACATCTTGCTCCTCCTTCCCTCCCCCCCACTTCCTGCGTCTTCTGAACTCATCAGAGCTAGCGCTACCACGACAACGATCACGATTACTACTACCACAAATTCTGCAACTGCTGCTGCTACCACTGCAGCTACCAGCTGGCCGCTCTGCGGTTGATCTAAAGACATTATACTTGTTCTGAGCGAGTGCGCTGGTGTGGAATTTACACTGAATTTCATCATATGCGCCAGCAAAGGTGCAGGAAGGGCAATTGTTGGCCGCACTTCCTCGCGCGCCGGGGGTTAGGATGACGCGAGCTCTACAGAAATCCCCTCAAACAATGACGATCTATCGACCACCGTGACGCAGGCACCGAGTGGAGTGTCCTCAGGTCCCTTTCAAGCGCTCTTCAAATGATTCAGGCCCACGTATCGCGGGCGCTCTCGGGAGTTCCCGTGGGCACCACGCGTGCCATAACGGGCGGTCACAACTTATTCGGCGGCGAGCCTGGTGGTGAAGAAGGGGCTCCCAACTTCCCCCGAAGACACAGCTAACTTCTCAGAAGGCTGGAGCGCTTCGGAGAAGTCCCGCCGCCTTCTGAGGAGGCCTTCTCCTTCTCACTTCCCCCCCTCGCCCGCCGCCGAATTGTCGCACCTTGTGCTTTTCAAAGTTTTCGGCCCGAGGAGCCCTGCAGTGCCTGGATGGCCCCCGAGATGGGCAGGAAGCCCCGACAATGCGCCCAAGAAGAGGCCCTTGGAAGCCTCCGAGAGGCCCCCAAGAGGCCCCGCTCCCAAGAGGCGTCCAAGAGGCACCGAGAGGCCTCCGAGGGACCGCCAAGATGTAGCCCAAGTCGTCAGATGCATCCAAAAGGAATGTGGCCCACAATCCATGCATGGTGGCCGGATGGGCCAAAGGCCACTAGACAATATGAAGACAGACCAACCGTGATAACGACACTGAATCATGCACCTCCCTTCCCACTTCCACTCCTCCTCCCCATCCCCGTCTCCCATTCCCCCTTCCCATACCTCCTCCTCCCTCGTTTCCTCCACCTGCTCATCCCTCTCCTCCTCCTCCTCCTCCTCCTCCTCCTCCTCCTCCTCCTCCTGTGTACTCCTCCTCCTAATGAGAGGGCACGAGCCTGCAATTTGACCAGGCGACGCGGCACACTTGCGAGGAGGCCTGACAGGGACAGGCAGCTCTCAAAAACACGCAGGCCGCGAACACTGCCTCTTGTGGCGACAGACATGGGCAAAAATGCGGGTGGCGGCCTTCTGACCGATGTTGGAATGTCGACTTGTGGAACCCATGTCCGAAAGACCAGCGAAGAAATGGGTACGGATATTATCAGGCCCCGCCAAGGGGGCAGAAAACCTGTCAACTGCCGTCTGGCGCACAAACCAACTTTCGGAGGCGCCGCAAGGTGGGGTCCAGCGAGGACCCCAGAGATGTGCGCGGACCTCAAAAAGCCACTGCTTAAGTAGCTGATTATCTTCGACATGGGGCTCTGGGACATCGGATCCCAAGGTGGTGGACATAGGATAATAACAACTCGGGGGTATACGATGGGGGGCCTCCATCCTCGATTCAGGTTACTGCCAGCTGCTTCCGGGGAGTGTTATCCCGACTCCACATACGTCTTCCAGACCGCGGTGTCTTTGGGGACGGAGTTCGGGGATGTGGGGCCAGAGTGACGGTGTCATAGCAACTCCATCCTCAGATTTTCGACGCCAGGGGTAGGTCGGACATGTCCTCCCACAGGCGGATTTTGGACGAAAAAATGAGGAAATCAAAAATGCTAGAAGTTAACAAAAAATAGCAAAACATCGTCCACGGACTATTTTTGACTATGTTTGAATACTCCTCCTGTAGAGGGACAGGCCCGACTTAACCCATGGGCTCTCGACCCATTCCCCCAGGCCGGCGTCTCTCCCTGCGTATATAGTTGTTTGATGGCTCCTCGGGAGCAGGCAACGGCGCCCAGAGGCCGAACACAAATGTCAAGCTGGCCATCGCCAGCTTTGCTGCGCCGCCAGGACCTGAGATCTGGGGGTCGTTGCCCTGGAAGAACAACTCCTGACTACCTACCAGACCACCCCAACCCAACCCGAAGACCCGAATTTGACCCGAATTTCGGGTTGGGGGGGATACGGATTCCATGTGTTTTTTTCAGCGTTCCCCGACCCCCCCCACTGGAAATCGAGGATAAATTTGGGCCTTCGGATTGGGTTGGGGTGGTTTGGTGGGTGGTGAACTCCAGCCTCGCATGCCCCTGGCGCCGCGCGGCCGCGCGCACGGGCATCACCTGGCAGGAGCGGCCAAAATCGGATCAGCTCGGAAACGACCATGCGCAAGGTCGGGCTGCATACGGTACACTATACGGCATCGAGCCAAAAAATACCAGCCTGGAACATATCCCTATCCCTAGGCCCTAAGCTGGGCACCTCCTCATAACGATGCCAATCTTAGGGATTCCCTTATTTTTTGAGGGCGAATCCCTAAGATTGTCATCGCCTTTTGGCGTGTCAACCTTAGGGATAAGGATACGTTCGAGGCTGGTACAATAACGCATTGGATCGGCCGCGCCAGGATGCACGACGGCGCCATGTAAAAAATCAAACCGCATCGGATCGTCGGCGCGCCTTGGAAGCCGAACGCGGCGAACAACTCAGGACCCGCTCCCGTCACGGCGAAGCATCGAAACCGAATCGGATCGAGCCGGCCGAAGTGGAGTCAGAACCAGACCGAGCTGTATAAACACAATGTTCTGGAGCTCCGCGCGGATGTCTTGGATCGACGCTGGGCACCGCTGGCGACTGTTTTCTGGAGAACAAGATCGAAACGGCTGAGATCGATATCGATCGATCGGATCGAAGCGACCGCTTCCCCAAGGATAGAGTTTCGTCATCGATCCGTTCTTGGTGGCCCTGGGGCGCGACAACGGGCCCACCAGGCCGGACCGGAGGAAATCCGCCCGAATTGGAATCCATAAATTTGGAGATCGGGCTCCTGGGCCCTGTTACTGAAGTCTCTGGCGGCCGACTGGAACGATGCCGGTGCCCTCCGAACGCTCCCGACATGCTCAGCCGCTGAAAAGTCCTCCGAAGTTTCGGGAGCGGCCAAGAGGGGGGTGTCCAAGAGGGGGGGGTGCAAATCATGACCGGCGGCATGTGCGCGGCCCAGTGGGGGGGCCAGGGACGTAATGAAACAAGAAGAGGCGCCACGAAATCTGGGGAAATATCATGGCCCCCGCCATGATATCCACCCCCCCTAATCATCACCCCCCTCTTTTCCGCCCCCGACGAACGCTCTCGACCATGCTCAGCCGCCGAGAAGTCCTCCGAAGTTGGAAAACCTCCGGGACGTCTGGGAAGACGCCCGACAACTCAGCAGCTCGGGTAGCGCGAGTCGGATCGATCCGACCGGTCGGATCGAGTATAGGCGGCGACCTCCGACCCCAGAATCCGTGGGAGGCGGGGGCAGGCTTCGGAGTCGCCGCGTGCTCGGCGAACTCGCGACCCTGCCCCCTCCGCCCCTCGAGGTGCCAGAATCGCTGGCCGGAGAGGTCAGAGGCCTCCCAACTCAGGGAAAAACGCGCTGCAACGCCCGCTGCATCGCCGATGCATCGGCGATGCATCGGCGATGCGTCGGCGACGTCGGCGGTGCGCGAACGCCGGCGTTGAGAGAATCGGGCTTCACATCGAGCCAAATCGCCGATGCATCGGTGACGCGGCGCGATCCTCCGAAACCACCTACTCGGACCCCATCTGGGAGGCCTAGAGTTCAATTCCACTATTCAGCTATGATGCATTGCTCGCCGCCTGTATCTTCCCACTATACCAGCGGGGGCAAGATCGCGCGCCAGCGATCCGAGCGAATCTTGCTTTCGCCCCCAAATCGAGCCTGGAGAACCTACGTGCGCTTCCGATTGGACACGGAGCCCACTTGGGTTTGGATCTCGCCGTCGGTCGAGGCGGCCCGCCCGAGCAGGAGGAGGAGGAGGAGGAGGAGGAGGAGGGGGAGGAGGAGGAGGAGGAGGAGAAGGAGGCAGGAGGAGGAAGAGAAGGAGGAGGAGGAGGAGAGAAGAGGACGACGAGGAGGAGGAAGGAGGAAGGAGGAGGAGGAGGAGGAGGAGGAGGAGGAGGAGGAGGAGGACGAGGAGGAGGAGGAGGAGGAGGAGGAGGTGACCTGGTGCTGGCGGAGCCCCGCCCGAGCAGCGCGCCCGCCGCGCCGCGGCCGCCCGACAGCAGCGAACCGCCGAGGGCCTGCGAGGCGGCCGTGGAGCCCTGCAGCCCGGACATGAGAGCGGCCTGTGCCGGTTGGGTCTCCTGCTCCTCCCTTCTTCTTGATCTTCCTCCTCCTCCTCCTCCACCTCCTCCCTGGCCTCCTCTTCTTCCTCCTTCTCCTCCTCCTCCTCCTCCTCATCCTTCTCTTCCCTGGCCTCCTCCCTGGCCTCCTCCTCCTCTTCCTCCTCCTCCTCCTCCTCCTCCTGCTCCTCCCTGGCCTCCTCTGGCCTCCTCATCCTCCTCCGCATCCTCCCTCCTCCTCCTCCTCCTCCTTTTCCTCCTCCTTCTCCTCCGCCTTCTCCTCATCTTCCTCCGTAGCCATTTTGGCTCAAGACCCATGCTTTGGCGGGCTGAGCCCGCATTGGCAAAAACGGATACCGCTAGTCCGCGGCAGCTTTCAACCAATCAGGAGGTCCCTCTCTCGAGGGGTTCGCGAGCCTCCAACATCCCTTTCCTAGCTCTCGTGCCATGGCTCCTGCTGGCCCTGGTGAGTGGGAGCGCCGCCCGTGGGTCCAGGCCTCCAGGCCCCGTCGCTGGGGAGGCACTATACCCGAGGGAGGAGTTTCGGCTGATAAGTGGGATAAATGGGACAGCCAGCGAGGCAAGCACGAGGAGGATTGGAAGACGGTGGCTGGGCCCAAAGGTGAAATTCTATGCCACCACTGCGGTTGCCGGAAGAACTCAAAAGGATCGATGTGCTGCAAACATTGTGGCCAAAAGCTTGGCTCTCGACCCCAACCTCTGGAAGACCCTGGGGCCCCCAAGGTGTCGGATGAGTTGGGGAAGGGAGCGGGCAAAGGGAAGAAAGGTTACAAAGGTGGCAAGGGAGAGCCGCTCGGTGGCAAGGGCACAGGCAACCTCTCCTCGGCACTCCCTCCTGGACCTGTTCCCGAGATTCCTCAGGCCAAGGCCCTCGAACTACAGCGTTTGGCTCGTGAGGCTGGGGACGCTGTGGGGGCCGCGCGCTATGGAGCCCTGGCGCAGAGAGCGGCTCCGCCCCCGAAGCCGTCGGGGAGGCAGAGGCTCATTGCCGCGGAGCAGAAGCAGGAGAAGCTCGAGAAGCGCCTCAACAGCGAGTTCGAGAAGCTGGAGCGCTGGCGTCGGGCGACTGAAGAGTTGGCGGCCACGGTCGGGGCCCTGGCCGACGAGCTGCAGGCCGCCGACGCCGAGGTGGCAGCCGCCCTGGTGGAGCTCCAGAGCCAGCACAGGGGACCGCCAGCGACGGAGTCCAGCGGCCTGGCAAGCATCAGCCTGCGAAAGCTCATTGACGGCGAAATGGAGCTGGCCAGCCTTATTTCTTGTGACGATTTCATTGATGTGGAGGCTGTCAAGGGCAGCTACGAGGTGTCTGAGGAGGACCTACGTGAGCTCGAGGAACGCAAGAACGACGTGGCGAAGCAGATGCAAGAGGTGCTGGGATCGGTGTTTCGCCAAGCGCTGGAGAAAGCCAACTCCGCTCAGGACCAGCACAAGGAGCACCTCAAACGTCTTCAAGCTAAGCGACGACGTACCGCTGATGACGGCCCTGGCGAACAAGCAGCAGCAACTGGGGGGATCGAGCCTGGACCAGGGGTATCGCCAAGCCCAGAGACAGCGACGCCGTGCTCAACCGCTGAGGCGACGGTGGAGGCGCTGGGAAAGGCTGCCCCACAGGTGGACATTCGCTCTCGCGTCGCTGCTGACGGTGGCGTCAAAGCTGCTAAACGGGCAGGCCTTTAGCAACAGCGCGAGCTCGACTCAGGTGGGGGCGACGTGGTCGAGTTCGGCGACTCCCTGTTCTTGGTCTTCGAAGTCGTTTGCCACGTGCGCATCGGCGAAGCCATCTTCTTCGGTTGAGTGGTCAGCGTCGGGGTTGGCTACTCCCTGTGCTGCGGTGTCGCCGTCGGCGCCAGTGTCGGCGACTCCCTCGGCAGCGGTGGCGACGTCGACTTCGCGGGTGGCGTCTACCAGTTTTGTCGGATCGGAGTCCAGGTGCGCCTCGAGCCTGGTCTCCTCAGAGTTTAATTGCTTGGAAGGGCGGCCACGTGTGTCGGCAACAGGTCAGAGCGCCGAGTACGTGACAGCCAGTCAGAACGCAGCCGTCAAGCCCAGCCAGAGCTTGGCGGCCCTCCCGTCCAAACCTTTTGTCGGATGCAGGAAGGAAATTTCAGCGTCAGAGCGCGACAGCCAGGTGCTCCTCGAGCCTGGCTGTCTCAGAGTAGATTGTGTGTATCCACCGTGGGAGTCTGGAGTTAGATCGCAAAATCCTGGGGGCAACCGATTCTCGGACGAAGTGCCCACCCAGGTTCAGTCGCCACGGGCTGGGTCTCGAGCCAAGGGAGTCAGTGTTGAGCCACCCCATGGAGAGTCCCAAGCAGCGCTGCAGCAGAAGCAGGTCATCTCCTTGTTGGAAGGGCTCCCTCCTGAGGATCACGGTGACCTAGGCACGTTCCGAGCCGGCACTCTCAATGCGAATACGTGGCCAAGGGCTCGGATCACCATGCCATGGATCGAGAAACAATGCCAGATGCCGCACGTGTTATGTATTCAGGAGACCGTGTTGGACCAGTCGGGGGAAGCAGGAGCCCATCAATGGTCTCGCTCCTGCTCACGGAAGCTGGCGCTGGGTTCTGCCAAGCGCACTGGAGAATCGGCCAGATCTCTCTCAGCAGGAGTTGGCTTGTCTGCGGCCATGGGCATTGGTGTGGCCAAGCTCCAGGTGCCAGAGAGATGGCAGCACCGAGTGGTGATGAGACTCATGACGGTTGGCACGCACTCGTGGATCATCATCGGCTCAGTCTACGGCGTCGACTCCATCGGCCCCAAGGGCGAGAACCTGGAGTTGCTGGAGTTCCTTAGTGCCTTCTTGGGGGCGCAGCGGTTCCCGTTCCTGCTGGGAGGCGACTGGAATCTAGAACCCGAGGAGATCATGGAGATAGGCTGGCTGGACCTTGCAAACGCCACCATCTTCGCACCTGGCCTCCCAACCTGCAATGGCAAGGAGTATGACTACTTCATTGGCTCCCAGGCTCTGGACGCCTTCCCCATGTCGGTGGAGGCCAGGGTGGACTCGCCGATTTCGCCACACTGCTACGTGGAGATCAAGCTTGAGGGCCTCAGGGATGAGCCTTTTGTCTGGGTTGAGGCGCCTCCGCGTGCCTTTCCACTGGCTGATCAGGAGGCCAAGAGGAAGACCAGGAAGAAGGATATGTGTGCCAAGGAGACCGGCCTCACCTTGACCACGGAACCGCCAATGGTACCTGTGCTTGACGAGTGGCAGCTGGACGCCCCCGTGGGCTCGGTCGAGGAGGCGGCAGCGAGGTGGTTCCACGCGGCGGAGAAGTACCTGGTGCAGTTGTTCGAGATTCCGTCCTCGGACAGGAGGTTCTATGTTGGCAGGGAGAAGGGCGTGGTTCTCAAGAGGAAGAGGCTGGTGGATTGTGCGAAGTCTATTCTTGAGCGCCACGACGAGTCGGACACCAGAGCTTGGTTAAGCGCCCTCAGGCTATGGGATGCCCTATGTGTAGCATCGTCAGCTCCGCCTGGTTCGAAAGCAGGCAGACCAGAGCACTCCACGAGATGCGAAAGGCAGCTGCTGGCCTTGAAGCTCCCTGAGGCCATCTCGGATTCCCCCTCCCTGCAGGCAAAGGAGGTCCAGAAGTGGGTCGCCTTGGCCAAGAGGGGAGGTCAATTGTCTGCCTGGTTTCGGACGGTGCTTGCGGAGGAGGTGGAGATGCGCAGGCGCAAGGACTCACAAGCCAGGAGCAAAGCCTGGAGAGAGTTTGGCGAGCTCGCAGCGGATGGTTCTGGCAGGATTGCGCACGCGATCTCCAGGCCCAAAATGTTGGAGGAGGCGCCCACACTGGCCAAGGGCAAGGCCCATGGGCTCGTGGGAGCTGCGGCGATCACGGCGGTGCTGGAGGAATGGGAAGAGCTGTGGATCTCTGACGACAGGGCCCAGGAGGCAGCGCCGTCGGACTGGAGTTACCCGTGGAAACTCGACCAGATCTCGGAGGACCAGATCGTCCAGGTCTGCCGCTCCTTTGGTATGTCCACTGGGCTGGGCTGGGACAACTTTCACATGAGGTTGGTGAGCTTCCTGGATGGGGTTTTTGTGCGGAGGCTACAAGAGATTTTATCAAGATGGGAGCGCAATCCGCACTGTGAGCGCATGTGGGTCACGATCAATGTATTTCTGCCTAAGCCAGGAGGAGGCACACGCCCGATAGGGCTCTTGTGTTTCTGGGCACGTATTTGGAGCAGATGCAGGAGGCAGTATGTCAAGAGTTGGGAAGTATCTGTGGATGCGAAGTTTTTCTGGGGAAAAGATGCCACGACCAGTTGCGACAAGGCGGCGTACTTGCACAACATGCTGGCCTGCTACGCCAGAAGGAAGAGGATGTCGGCCATAACTGTGTTCTATGACATCCGCAAGTTCTACGAGAATGTCAGTCATCAGCAGCTTAGAGAAGCAGCAGAGCACTACAACTTCGACGGCGCCTTGCTGAAGGCGCTCTGCTGCCTGTATCGAGCGCCACGCCGTGCGCGATGGACAGGGGGCACGAGCAGAGTCAGTCATCCGAATGGTACTATTGTGGCTGGCTGCAGTGCGGCGACAGGGGTGGCGAAGCTGATGACATTGTGCCTCCTCAAGCGCCTGGCTGAGGAGACGCCCCCGTGTCGTGCGCTGAACGTCGTCGATGATTTGACGACGCATACCATCGGAGGCCCCAGAACGGTTGTTGAGAACACGGTCAAGAGTTTCGAGATCGTAACATCGGAGCTGGACTCAAGGAAGCTGCCGATTAATTGGGACAAGACGAGATTCATGATGTCCGACCGCTCTCAGCTGTCTGCGTTGATGCAGGATCCCAGGTGGAGTCTTTCGGAGGACAAGCTGGTCATCGCCCACCGCGACCTCGGCGGCGACTCGCTGGACGGCAGGGCGAGGAGGGTCGGCACGCAGGCTTCGAGATGTGAGGCCGCCAGCAGCACGGCGCGTGCCCTACGTCAGCTGGGGCAGAGTGAAAAGCATAGTAGAGTGT